GTAAATGGTTCATCTAGATTGGAATTTAAAGATGTGTACATTGCTTTTGGATCTGGGTGCTCCTGTCAAATGTTATAGAGGGAATGGTAATATTCCTGAAATGCTTCTGTTATCTCCTCTGTTATATGAACCAAGGATTTCATGGAGGTCTTAATTTTCGGGATATAAGTATTTTGTAACCTTTGTTTCAACACGCTCACTAGTACCCTTCCACATCTGTTACCTTGTGCATAGTAAAGTTGTTTGGTCATCAGAATATTTCTTATATAGTATTTTAAAGTCACTTATAAGGCATATGAGCCTAGAGAAGTCGGTATTGGACAGAGTGGCCTTATGTGCCTCTTCTGTTTTTTGTATATCTTCCAACAATTTTCTAGAGTATGTTCTTTTTTAAGAAAATAACCTTTTTAAATTAGTTCTCCTCTAATTATGCATTTACAGGCCTCGAGCTGCATAAAATATATAGTATCTATTATTTTGGAAGTTTTCAAGATATTGTTGGATTTGGGATGACATGGTTTCTTTAACCTTACCATCTTGTATAAGAGTCAAGTTAGGTCTCCATTGGCAAATTTTAGATGGTAGAGTAGGGGTGAAGAATCTGATTGAGATGTGTGCGTGATCGGACTATCTAATACTCCCTATGTTCACTGATGTAAGTAGATGGAGGAATCTGCGTGAAACTAGGAACATATCAATTCTGCTGTATGTGGCTGAAGGTTTAGAGATAAATGTATAGTCTTTAGTAGATGGGCGATGAAGTCTCCAACAATCTACCAGTTGGTTACTATGTGTAAGAAATGTTTCATCTAGGTTCGTGTTGAAATCAGAGGTGTGGGTTGATTGCTGTACTATCTTTCTGGGCATCCAGTAAAAGATTAAAATCTCACCGCAAAAATAGGGGTCTTTCAAGTTATTGCTGAACTCTATTCATTATACATCTAAAAGAGGAGCATTGTTTTCAATTGTATTTGTTAGCTAGGGTAACCAGGAACAATCCCGCAAGACTTTCAGAATTAGATGCACAGAATAGTCAGATGTGTGGTGCTGATAAGTAAATGGGATTGCTATCCCTGAAACTTGCCTTTGAAATAATTATAATAGTGCGCATGGGGAAATTTGCGATGTTTCAATTTGGGTGTGTCGCTACCCCTAAAATGGGTTTCCTGAAGGAATAGTCTGCTCATCTAAGACCATAGAACATTTTTTATGGGAGATCAGACCCCTAACCAGAGGCGGCTCTAGACTTTATGAGGCCTTAGGCGAAACTCAAACATGAGGACCCACTAACAAAAAAGTGAAAAAAATAGAGTTGCAATACATGCACACTGTCACATATACACATTGATGCACAGTTTAACGGTGTATGTGCCTGAGAGTGTGTCTGACAGAGAGTATCTGTGTGTGTGTGTGTGTGTGTGTGTGTGTGCGTGTGTGTGAGAATGTATGGGACCCTGTGTGTATGGGGTAGCTGCTAGAAGTGTGTTGTGTGTATGGGGTCTGCCTGTAGCCTTTGTGCAATGTGTTTATGGCGAAGCTATGTTTCTTGACTGTGTGTGTATGATGAATGTCTTCAGGTGGTGACTGTGACAAGATGAGTAAAGAGGTACCAGTGGCAAGGAGAGCATGACAGGGCGAAGGGGGTAAATGGACGGGGGGTTGTGAGAGAGAATGAGGGACAGGGAGTATGACATGGTTTGATGAGGGAATGTGACAGGGCGAGTGGAGGTAAGTGTGTCAGGGCAATTGTGGCATGATAGGAGGGATGAGTGTGACAGGATTAAGGGGGGTTAATGTGACAGGATGAGTGTGGCAGAGTGAGGGCAGGTGAGTTTGGAGGGGGTGAGATTAACAGGATTAGGAGTGGTTAATGTGAGTGTGGATGCATGAAGAGGCTGACAGTGTGGGTGGTGACAGTGTGAGGGGATGCTAACAGTGTGTCTGGGGAGGCTGTGTGTGTGAGGGGGTGATGGTGAGAGGGAGGGAGAGGGGGTGATGAGAGGGAGGGAGAAGGGGGTTATGAGAGGGAGTGAGAGGGGGTGATGGTGAAAGAGAGAGGGAGGTGATCGTGACAGGGAGAGGGGGGTGATGGTGACAGGGAGACGAGGTGATGGTGTGGGGGGTGATGGTGTGAGGGAGGGGTGAATGTGTGGAGGGAGAGGGGTGATGGTGACAGGGAGAGGGGAGGTGATGGTGACAAGGAGGTGGTGGGTGGGGGGTGATGGTGAGAAGGGGTGATGATGTGAGGGGGTGTAATGGTGAAAGGGGTGATGGTGAGAGGGAGGGGGTTATGGTAAGAGGGAGGTGGGTGATGGTGAGAGGAGAGGGTTTTGGTGAGAGGGGTGATGGTGTGAGGGAGAGGGGTTGATGGTGAGGGGGGTGATTGTGAGGTGATGCTGAGGAAGGGGGTTGGATGGTGAGGGGGTGATGCTGAGGGAGGGGGGGATGATGAGGATGATGGTGGAGGTGATGCTGAGGGGGGCTGATGGTGAGGGGGGTGATGCTAAGGGGTTGATGGTGAGGGGGGTGGTGCTGAGGGAGGGGGTTGATGTTAAGGGAAGGGTTGATGGTGAGAGGGGGTGATGCTGAGTGAGGGGGGTTGATGGTGAGAGGGGGTGATACTGAGGGGGGGTGTGACTGGGAGAGGGGGGAGACATACCTTGATTGGCTCCCTGGTGGTCCGGTGGCCATCATTTCCGGTCTGCAGCTCCGCTCATGGGCGGGGACTGGGGGGCAGGACAATAGGTCCCCCCCTTATTGTCATTTAGGGCCCCCACCTGTCGCTCAGGGGTGGGGCCGGGGGGGACCCTATGTCCCTTGTTTAATTAAAGAGCCCCCACTCACGGGGCACAGGTGGGGGCTCGGGGGGGCACACTATGTCCCCCCCACTAGTTAATAGTTTCCCCACAATGGGGCAATTTATGGGAAAGTTTTTTTTTTTTTTTACAACAGTGAGGAGTAGACATGCCCCTACTCGCGGCATAGCGAGTAAGGGCAGATTAATTACTAATCTTTACTTAGTATTAGTAAAGTTGGCTGAAAGACCAATCTTGGTCTTTCAACCTTTTGGTAGATAGCTCCCTAATACCATGGGAATTAGAGAGCTCACTACTAAATGGCTGCAAGATGCAGCTGCGGCACAAATAGGAGCGGCATTTCATTTATTTGTCCAGAAAGTCCAGAATTGCTTCCTAACACGAATGGACAAACTGTTCTCATTCTGTTAGGACAAAATTCACTAGTTTCGCCAGCGTTCTGTCTAAATGACAGGACGTTCGGGAATAGTGAAAGCAGGCATTGCGAAAGGGTGAGAATTGTGGGAAGATTTCTCTGATCCACTTGTGCTGGTCAAGCGTAGGAAAAATTCATAAAACAAAGTAGTCCCTACTTTGTCTTATGTTTTAAAGAAAACTAGAGCAGATTGGAAAAAAAGAATAACAGATCCTGAGAGAGGGAGAGAAGAGGAAGCGATTAGGGAAAGGTAAGTTCAGCATGACAGCGCCACTTTAAGATAGAAGCATTGTTTTGACCAAGAAAAGCACTAGATTGTAATTTTTTTCACAGCACTTATATCTAGGTCAGGACTCTTCATCTAACAACTGTTTCTAAAGTTGCCAATACACATTGACTTCAACTACAAAGTAAAATTAATTTATGGGGTGGAACAGTCGTACAATTCCACAATTCCACTAACATTTCTGCATCCATAGATTGTAAGGACAATGTCATATACTAAGCAGAGATGAAAACATGAAAAACCTATAAATATTTCCATATGTTTTGCAGGTGTACTAACTCATACATTACTTACATGTGTAAAGACCAAAGAAAATATATGAAAGGAATAACACACCAATGAAAGTTTTCAATCAAATTTGCCATTACTTTCACCACCACATGTGTAAAAACAAAGAGCATTCAATAGATTTCAAAATATTAAGGAGACTATGCAACGCAACATCCCACAATGTACACCCTATTCTCCACAAGGAAATATTTGTTAGAATTTTGTTTTTCTTTTGACTCCGTAATAATTGATTCTCTGTCAAGAACAAAATTATACAGTTAAGTCTGGAAATATTTGGACACTGACACAATTTTCATAATTTTGGCTCTGTACACCACCACAATGGATTTGAAATGAAACAACTGAAATGCAATTGCAGTGCAAATTTCAACTTTAATTCAAGGGTTTAAACAAAATATTGCATGAAACGTTTAGGAATTGCAACCATTTTCACACACAGTCCCCTTATTTCAGGAGCTCAAATAACAAATTAACACAATGATAAACAAAATGTTAACTTTTAATACTATGTCGAGAATCCTTTGCAGGCAATGATTGCTTTAAGTCTGGAACGCATGGACTTCATCAAACAATGGGTTTCCTCCTTTGTAATTCTTTGCCAAGCCTTTATTGCAGCTGTCTTCTATTGTTGTTTGTGGATCTTTCTGCCTTAGGTTTTGTCTTCAGCAAGTGAAATACATGCTCGATGTTGAGATCAGGTATTTGACTCGGCCATTGAAGAATATTCCAACCCTCTGTATTTGCTCTCGTGAAGTCTTCTCTTTATGGACTTGGATAATGATATGCCTACTTCCTGGAGTGTGTTCTTTACTTGGCTGGATGTTGTGATGGTGTTTTTCTTTACCCCTACAGTTGTTTACAGTGTACCATATAGGCCTTTTTGTGTTGCAGAGCTCACTGTGATTTTTTTTTTCTCAGAATGTAACAAGCTGTTGATTTGGGCACTCCTAATATCCCTGCCAAATCTCTAATGGATTGTTGTTTTTTTGCAGTCTAAGGATGGCCTGTTTCACTTGCATTGAAAGCTCTTTTGATCCCATGTGGTGGGTTCATAGCAACAGATTCCAAATGTGAATTCTACACCTGGATTCACCTGGAATCAACTCCAGAACTTTTACCAGACATGACGGCAAGTGATTGTTGATGACGTTGGTACTGAGGCATCACACCATAAAAGGAGGAGGAGTAGAAGATGAAGAAGCAGCGTGTAGCCAAATTGGCGCATCAAGTGATCAGCAAAAGGTAAGTATGGAAACTGGGTCTGCGACGTTCCAGTTTCTATTAAAGTCTGCACTTTAAGGAAATTTTGACTTTATTCAATGCATTTTTAATCTGACTGGCCTTTTTGGTAGGATTAGTCAGACATGCAATGGTTTAGGTTAAGTCTATAATGGCACACAATGAGCAAACACCAGCTCAAGAACCTACCAAATGGCAAACTATTTGAGTTGTTCTCTGTTCTCAGTATTCTCTTGCACCCAGTTTTGATATGTAGAGTGTTTTCCACCAAGACGTGCACCCAGGTCTATATCTTTGTGCAATCAAGTCTCATATTACTGACTTGTTTTGCAGGTCCTTTTATTACACAATTTAGTCTCTTTAACTGGAGGAACTCTTGTGCATTCAGTGCATTCACACGAGGGTTACATGTTTGCTTTTTGAGTGGGAATTACCATTTATGATATTGTAGACATGTCCCCTGCCAATCCACTCACTCTGGTCCCAATTTCATACATCCCTAATAGGAGACATGCAAAGTGTGCTACAAACACATTGACCATTTGGCTGTAATAACACATGCAGTCCTGACTTTTTTTTTTTTTTTGTGAATACAAAGCTGAATTTCTAAAACTACAGGGTTCGCTCTGACTCCCTCCCCAGCAATCAATTGGTTAAAAACCTTAAAACACTTAACTGATTCCAGCACCGAGGACCATCAGTGCTGGTTCATCTCCACCTCCTTCGATGTCAGCTCAATGGGGAACCTAAAGTGTGAGGACGTCCAGAGTGTGAAACTGCAGGAAGCTCCTCTAGTAGATATCTGGTAGATATCCACTAGAAGCATTAAGTCTGGATCCAAAGGACTGGTGTAAGAAGTAAGAGCCTCTATACAGACAATGACTGAAAAGAGATATCCTGCCCCACAAATAGAATGAGCACAGAAACAGGATGGAGAACAAGGAAAGAAGCTTTGAAAGGAATAGTTACCAAAGACAAGTGCTTGAGAGTGATTTACCATGTATAATATATAATATAACATATACCACTTGTAGCTTACTAATAGTTCATAAACAATACACTTTATTAATTAAAGGATTTATGAAATATTAATTTATTTTTTGATACTGGACACCACACTTCTGGCAGGTTACTAAGGCAACAAACTGTGGAAAAGGAAGTGAGTCAAATAAGGCATCTTAGAATCGTAGAAACATCATTCGGCTAACTATGGAGAATGCTTAAGCGGAAGCTGTGCACAATTTATTTCAAAACAGTTTTAATACCAATTACAGGCTAAACTTGGCTAATCCTTACACTTGACAAATTTGGTTTACAGCCTTCCTGCCATTATTCTGAATATTATTATGGCAGTATGCCCACGAGCTTTGAAAGCAAAATGAAAGCAAAGCAGTGACTAAATGACGTAACTGGTAAGATTCAAGAGTACATTTTAGCTAAGTACAAAATCTACCAAAGTGGTTTGATAAATTGTATCAGATAAAAATATTGATGCTATGACCTGCTATGAAAATAACTTTGAGACAAGATGGATTAAATTAAAGGCAGTTATAACTATAATGCACATAAGAGGTTCTTATAGTACTTTGTAAGCCATCTATGTTTTACTAATTCTTAAAAGGGACACTGTAGTCACCAGAACAATTACAATTGTTGTTCTGGTGAGTATAGTTAGTCCCTGCAGGCTGTTTGTTGTAAAATTGTCTTTTCATAGAAGCACTGCTGCAGTGACATTTAGCATCTCTGCACTTTGCATGGAGACACTGAACTTTTCCCATAGTGATGCAATGGATTCAGTGAATCTCTGTTTGGGAGATGCTGACTGGCCTGGGCAGTGTTTGTCTCTGCCCCCAGCCCGCCTCCTCAAAATTGACAATCTCAGCCAATCCAATGACAGCATTGTGATTGGCTGAGGTCATCACTTCTAATTATGTCAGCCAAGGAGTTAGATCAAGGGTGGAGCCAGCGCCGGCAGACTGGAATAAAGGTAAGATATTACTCTATTTAGGGGGACAAGTGGGGCAAGGGAGGCTACAAATTGTTTTTAACACTATAGGGTCAGGAATACATGTGTCCCCTTTAGATAATGTCATGAAGGGGAGAGGCACAGTCATTTTTACCTAAAGTGCAGTCATGCAAAGGGTTGAGAAACCTGATGCAAAAGTCTAACAGAAGACTTTTCAAGTTGCCATTTTCTAATTTGATACACACACTGCCACACATGTAGATGCACAGATAAAAACACTGACGCACATGCAGATGCACAGGCACAGGTACAAGCACTGACACACATGCAGATACACAGATGCAAACACTGACACACATCTAGATACACATACACACAGATACAAACACTGCCACACATGCAAATACACAGACAGATACAAACACTGATGTTAAACTGCATGACAATTTTTATCCTACAATAATTTTTGGCTTCTCAGGCAAATATGCATTTTGCAACCCTCTCCCTCCCACCCCCCCAAAAAAACGCTTGTTCACATGTGTGTTTCTTAAACCCCCTTTTGACTTTCTAAACCCCTTTTGTGTTCAACTGATCTGTTGAATGTCTTACCCCTTTTTGTGTATCTTGCCCATCCTCCATGTGTCTCATTCTCCCCCTAACTCCTCCATGTGCCTCATTCTCCCCCCAGCCCCTCCATGTGTCCCATTCTCCCCCCATAGACCCTCACCCTCCATGTGTCTCACCCATTCTCACCCCCTGGAATCTCCGTATGTCCTGTTCTGCCCCCCATGTGTTCTATTCTGCCTCTCCCTGTGTTCTGTTCTGCCCCCATGTGTCCTGTTCTGCCCCTCAGCCCCTCCATGTGTTCTGTCTCTGCCCCCTCAGCCCCTTCCATGTATCCTGCTCCTGCCCCCATCCTCCCTCTATGTGTTCTGTTCTGCCCCCTGCCACTTCATGTTTACTGTTCTGCTCCCAGCCCCTCCATGTGTCCTGTTCTGCCCCAGCCCCTAAAAGTGTCCTGTTATGCCCCTCCATGTGTTTAATCCCCGTCCCCACACCTCCTGTGCCCTGCTTACCTGGATGCCGAGCCCCTCCATGTGTCTCATTCTATGTGATAACACCCGCTCATCCATGTACAGTGTGTGTATAGGAGTGTAGTGTTTGTATAGGAGGCTCTATTAAACTAATATTATTATTTTTTTTAAATGAAAAAACAAATATTCATTCCCCCTTTCCTGTTGTGGCTTTGCAGGGAGGGTGGCATGCTGATCTCTAGTTGTCCAGTGTGCTGGGAATCTCTTCTGCGCCTCTGCATCCATGTGTGTGATATTTGTTTTGGGTGTATTACGGCCCGGACTGGCCATCGGGCACACCGGGAAAATGCCCGGTGGGCCACGGTGGCCATGGGCCGAGGCCGACAGGGGAGATCACAGCGCTATCTGAGCGCCGGCCCAGCTGCATTCCATGACTGGCCAGTGGGGAGATCAAAGATCTCCCTCACCGGCCCACACGTAATGTATTGCGGCCGCCGGCGTGGGAGAGAGGGAGGGAGACAGGAGAGAAACCCGGAGGAGCTCTATCTTGCAGCTCCGCCGGGTTCCTCTCGCGAGATTCGGAGCGTTGCCAGCACTCTCACTCACACACTCACACACACAAACACACACAGCACCCCTGATACTCACAGCACCCTCACTCATACATATACTGCACCCCTGGCACTCACAGCATCCTCACTCACACACACTGCACCCCTAACACTCAAGCACCCTCACTCACACACACACACACTGCACCCCTGACACTCACAGCACCCTCACACATACACACTGCATCCCTGACACTCACAGCACCCTCACTCACACGCACACACTGCACTCCTCTTGCAGACACACATCACTAACACAAACAGCACCCTCACACACACACATACTGCACCCCTGGCACTCACAGCATCCTCACTCACACACACTGCACCCCTGACACTCACAGCACCTTCACTCACACACACTGCACCCCTGACACTCACAGCACCCTCACACATACACACTGCATCCCTGAAACTCACAGCACCCTCACTCACACGCACACACTTCACTCCTCTTGCAGACACACATCACTCTAACACAAACAGCACCCTCACACACACACAGTGTACCCCTGACACTCACAGCACCCTCATTCACACACACACACTGCACCCTCACACACAGCTTCCTCACACGCACATAGCACCCTCACACAAATACAGCACCCATCACTCACACACAGTACACACACCCTGCACCCCTCACATACACAGCACCTTCACACACACACACTACAACCCTCACACACACACTACACTCCTCACACACACTGCACCCCTCTTACATACACACTACACCCCTTACACACACACACACACACATCACCCTCACACACACACTGCACAATACTCTTTCCTGGCATTTTTAGTTTCCGGGTATCCCATCTATGGAGACACCAGAGACAAATTTCAAGCAAACACAGTGCAGGCATGTAAATAAAGTTGCTTGTGCTGTGCAGAACAAATACAGGGTCTTTTTCTCATGAACCAACATGCTCACTTTGTGATGGGGCGTGCTTGTCATTGGTGATGACCAAACACACGCTATCTGACCCCGCCCGCTTTTTAGTGGGCCGCTGTAATAAAAAATGCCCCGGCCGAATTTTCTTTCCAGTCCGGCCCTGGGTGTTTTGACTGTGTGTGATATTTGTTATGGGTATATTACCGTGTGTGAAATATGTTTGTATTGACTGTAAGTGTTATTCAATTTTGTTTTTTTTAAAGGCATGTAGGCAAATGTGTGAATGCAGGTGTATATTTTTGCAGTGTCACATGCACAAAGTCACACACGCAGTCCCAAGCAGGCTGTCTCACACAGTTATAGGCAGTCGCACACACACATACAAAGTTACAGGCACAGAGTCATACACACACTGTTACAGGCAGAAAGTCATACACGCACACCGTTACAGGTAGTAAGTCACTGACACACACAATTACAGCGAGACAGTCACATATACATTTAAAGGCAGACAGTCAAACACATAGACAGTATAAATCAGGAAGTCACATACACACAGTCACAGACAGGCAGTCACGCAAAGTCACAGGCAGGTAGACACACACACAGTCAAAGACAGGCAGTCACAGACACAGTTACAGGCAGACACATACATTCAAACACAGTCACAGGCAGTCACACACACAGTCACAGGCAGGCAGTCACACACACACACAGTTACAGACAGACAGTCACACAAACACACAGTTACATACAGTCACAGACAAACACACTCACACACAGAGTTACAGACAGACAGTCACACACAGTTATAGACAGACACACATTTACAGACAGTCACACTCACACACAGTTAGAGACAGACACTCACACACACATTTACGGACAGTCATACGCACACACAATTAACTTTTTCCATTATGGGCTGGAGGGGGAGGAGTGGGGCAATGCAGTGTAGTAGTTGGGGAACCAGGGATCCTTCCGGCTTCTCTTCAGTCTGCAGCAGTAAGGGCAGCAGGTTCAGGTGGCATTTAACAATGCCCCCACTGCCCATTTAGCTCCGCTTCTTGTTTAGCTCTGCCTCACCTCCCGCTTAGCTCTGCCCCATCTCTCTGACTTTGGGCTGGCTTTACAAATTCAGCATTGCCTGCCCCTGTGTCGACTGCCCAGCGCCCCTATTGCCAGGGCGTCCTGTGCGGCTGCACAACTCACTCACGTAGTTGGTAAGCAGCGGGTCCCAACTGCTCAGTCCGCCCTTTAAAGAGCAAGTACAAAAAGCCAGGGGGACGAGCAGCCCCCCTTTACCTGCCCTATGGATGCCCAAAGAGGATATGTGATCAGAAATACTGTTCATTTCATTCTATAGATATTAATTGAATCAATTGACTACACACAGAAATAAATAAACAGTATAAAAGCATAGTAACTAACCCACAGATAATTTCATTAAAATGTAACCATTGTTTTTTTCTCTTATTCTTCTTGGGCTATAATCTGTTTTTGTTTGTTATTCGCAACCATATATCTGGCATATAAACATGGACATGTATTTATCTTTTCATCTGAAAAATGTTCAATAAAAACTTTAAAGGATCACTGTAGGGTCACGAACACAAACATGTATTCCTGACCCTATAGTGCTAACACCACCATTTAGGTGGCTTGCCCCTTCTTAGCCCCCCTATAAAAGTTTAAAACTTTTAAATGGCAGATTTTTAGCCAATCCAATGCTTTCCTTTACCGTTTTGGCTCTTTTCAATCAATGCATCTCTATGAGGAAAATTCAGCTTCTCCACGCAGGACGTGGGGATGCTGAACGGCAGGGCTGCCTACTGTGCAGCCCCGAGCCAGGAAGCCCCTCCAGTGGCTATCTATGGAGTGACCACTTGGAGGTGTCCCTAGGGGCAATGTAAACACAGCCTTTTCTCTGAAAAGGCAGTGTTTACATGAAAATGTCTGAAGGGAGCTATTATACTCACCAGAACAACTACATTAAGCTTAATGTAGTTGTTCTGGTGAGTATAGTGTCCCTTTGAAGGGACACTATAGTCACCAGAACATTTACAGCTTATTGTATTTGGTGGCTATTAGAGGTGCTTCCTGGGGCAGTGCTGCATAGTGTGCAGTACTGTCATTCAATGTCTATGCCCACGGGGGGCGGGGCCGGGCCGCCGAGCCGACTGGACGCCATATGCACGGGCTCCAGCTCTAGGCTCGTGAGAAGGGCTCAAAAAGCCAACTTTGACCGCTGCAATGCTGGAGCCGTCGCTACCGCTGCATGGAGAGGGTTACCAGCTTCAGCCCGATACCACGCAGGAAGCACAACACGCACCAGGTGAGCTGAAACGTCCACCCGCGGCCCACAAGCCGGACCTCGTGCACCCGCGATGTGCAGCCAGACACCGCGGAGAGGCACTCTACGGGGACAGGAGAAGCCGCATAAACTAAACCTCTGGTCGTGAGGTGATACCCCGGCTCGGGGCACGGCCCCGCTCCCCCCCCCCGAGCCGGTGGGGGTTATCCCGGCATCATGGCGGCGCGCATGGCGGCGGGTGCTCCCATGCTCGGCCTATGCCGCCCGCCTACACTAGCAATGGCTGCAAGAAAAAACAGCCGGCTAGCAGATATGGACACTGCCAGGAACGCACCCAAATAAAGAAGGAAGGAACGCATGCAACCATTTAATGGGGCACTACAGCCCACACAAAGCCCCAATTTGGAAAGCTGCCGAGGAGGATCCTACTTAAAAATACTACTGCCGTTAATCTGGTAGGAGAAAGACCACCTGCATTCATATGGAACTGCTCCAACACAGCTCCACACACCCAGAGGTAAAATTTAATAAAGGGGACCGGCAAGGACGGCTCATGCAGGCCCAGGCGATACTGAGCGCTAGGCGGGGCCTACACACCGCCAACACGCCGACCGGAGCAGTGAGTACCCCAGTCTCTGGGTATGGGGGTCCCCGGAGAACCATGTCCCAGATGCCGTGAGCCCTGTGGGGCGGGAGTGCGCTGCCCTGCCGGCAGACCGGTGGCCAGGGGGGCTAGGTACCAGCCTTAAGAGTGAGGCCGGCACTGGGAGGGACATGGGAGTGCTTGCTCCATAGGGAACAACGAGGTGCTGGGGAGGTGCAGGGGGCGGGAGAGTCACGGACTTTGGTGGTGGGGTCCAGTGGATAATCTCTGCTCCTGAGTGCCCACGGCGCCGAGGAGGACCCGTCCGGTGGGCGGGGGGCGAGGTGGGGTGAACGGACGGCGGCTCGTTTACCTGAGGACTGCACCGTAGCTGAGACATGTTGAGCCTCCCTCGGACTGCCACACAGCCTCCTCTCAAGTTCCAGCCAACCTTGCCTCTATATTGTTACGGTCCTTATTACTGATGTTGTTTGCCTATATACTTTATTACATAAAATGCATGACCAGCTACAGTTTATATTAGATTGACGCATTATAGGAGGTTACTAAATCCATTTGGTTTCTCCTATACAGAGCTCCTGCTTCAGATGCTCCGATAATTATTAGGGCCCTTAGTATTTTAATTAATTTTTTTTTTTTTTTAAGTATACGCCGGTTCAAGTTTGACGCACACCTTAGCCCTATGCAGACTGGAACCATAACGTACCGCACATCAATGCCCCAGCGCAAATCGTACACCTACATACTTAGACTATATCTTACTACACATATTAGTATCCAGTGCACTGGCCGCAGATTAACTTAAAATTACTGCACTACTGAGATACTGCGACATAATGCGCTAGGTTCCCTGATGGTGCAACGCTCTAAGAGTCTAAGAAAGTTGTAATAACAAGGCTTATCTATACATTGTGACGGCAGCAGGCTTACTTGAATGCTAACCCTTCACGCACATTACCCTCAAAACATCGCGCCTTAATACCCATTACCTACAGCACATCCCTGAAATCTGTAAAAACCAAACTATAGCATATCATATGCTGCATTAAATTCAATGCCTGTAACACGTTCACAGGGTCGCATATACTGGCAAATAGAATCACAGGATCATTAAGCCCCGCTAACACCAACAGCTATGAGGCGCAAGGCCAGCGTATAGCCAAGTTACTTGCTGACACATGTAGACACCAGATTACATATAGGCTTCATATGATGATGGTGAACCTATAGAGTTATAAGACTTAGCCTGGTACAGTCATAAATGTAATTACAGAAGGTTAATGCCTGCTGATAATAATTCTGATGAAAATAATAAGCCTCTGTGTAGGCAACTGTAAGCTTCTCATCATTGTCGAACTGTGCCTGACTTGTTTTATGCTTAAAATAAAAATGATTTAAAACAATGTCTATGCCCACTGCATGCAGACACTAAACTTTTCTCATAGGGATGCATTGATTCAATTCATCTCTATGAGGATATGCTGATTTGCCAGGACTATGTTTGACTTATGCTGGCTCTGCCCTTGATCTGCCACCTTGATAGTCTCAGCCAACCCTATAGGGAAGCATTGTGATTAGCTCAGACTACCACTTCTAATTATGTCAGCAGACAGCATGCAGATCAGGGGCAGAGGCAGTAGCTGCAGACTTCAATACAAGTAAGATTTTAGTATATATAGGGAGGGAAGGAGAGGCTGGGGTGGGGGGCGCTAGATGGTGGTTTTACCACTATAGGGTCAGGAATACATGTTTGTGTTCTTAAACATATAGTGTTCCTTTAATTACAAAAACAATGTGGACATTGTGTCACACTTTATCGTATATGACTATTAGGGACACTCCAGAACACTAAAGCATTTTAACTTGATGTTCATTGGGGGATACTGCCTGTCTACTCTAACTCAAATTATAAAAGTACCAGTTTCAAGAGAAATCCCTGTTATAAATTCTTGTAGTTACACCTCCCCAGGGTCAAGTAGATAGTTGAGAGTTTCATGCCTCACTCGCGTTGTACTATAGTTCAAAGTTTAAATTAATAGATTTCATTACTCTGAACAGATTCAGGAAAATTACAATTTTATATATGTTGTAGACAAATAATAATTTCAGTTAAAAAGACTAGGCAAATAGTTATTTTAGCTTTAAAACACCATTTTTAAAAGCCTTTTGCCTACCTAGTTTCCTGCAAAAAAGTTTTGCACATTTCTTACGTTTTTTTTACCTTCAGATTTGAAATCCATTTGCCTATGAAAGGCACTCGGACAGCCTAGGAAATTGGCACCTTCTCACCAATAGTTGCTTTGAAACCCTGTAAATGGCCCCTGCTCATCAATAAACACCCAGACATCCTTGGAAAGTGCTTGTCAATAACCATCCAGGAACACCTAAAGGAAGGTGTCCCCTGCTTGCCAATAAATGCCCCAGGTACCTGAAAGTGGTCCAGCTCTCCAATAGTTAAGTTCTTGCTAATAGACACCTAGGCTCTAAAGAAACATAGCCCTTCTCACTAATACACACCAAGGTACCCCAGTAAAGTTGCCCCGGTTTGCCTGTAGGTGCCTGGGCACCCCAGAAAAGTGGCACTTAGTTGATAATAGCCACATAGGATCCTTCAAGGAAAGTGGCTCCACTCACCAGTGACACCCCTGCTCATTAATTAGCTCTCAGACACCCAAGGAAATGGGCACTGCTTATCACCCAGTAGGTCTTCACCACCCTGTGGACTCTGGTATTTCCTCAAGGCTTGTTGTTTTACCTATTTTATTATTTTTTACTAACTGCTATGAAATTAGTAGACGTGCAATTCTTTTCGTTTGGAATGTATATTCGGACGAATTTCGTGCAATTCGGACATTCGGACGCTTACGAATATCTGAAGTTAGAATTGCCGAATTTCTGAAGTGCCGAAGTTCCTAACTGCCGAAGTTCAGAATTGCCAAAGTTCCAAAGTGGGTTAGGGCTAGGGTTTATGGGTTAGGGGTAGTGGTAGGGTTAGGGTCAGAATTACCAAAGTTCTGAATTGCCGAAGTCCGGAATTTTGGAAGTGCCGAACCGAACCGAATGCCATTGGTCCAAGTTGCCGAAGTAGACAATTTTTTTTACTTACCCGAATTTCTGAACTGAATCAAACCTAATTTTTTGCCCATGCACATCCCTAGAAATTAGTCATAACTTCACATCCTTATCTGGCACATAATTTTTTTTGCTTTTGATTTAAAAAGCCTACTAAATTAAAATCAATTTTAATAGAATAACTTATAGGTTATTGGTCACATCATCTAAAATTTACCTGCAAACAGGGCTGTAAAAACCATCAGAGTAAGAGGTCCTTTAAAAGTATATACGTAATTTATTATACATATAGGTGAATGTCATCATCCACTGCATTTACATGTATATATTTAGGGAGAAAAGGATGATCCACTGCTTCCTCCCTCAATAATACTCTGTTTTTACACTGGCTGTGCCCACTTGCAATAGCCAGGTGACAGCTGTCATTTCGTTATCTTACCTCAGACAGCAGGTTCAGTAACTGACGAGTGGTCCATAGTGCTTTCCACAAACTCTCCCCTAACCCAAATCAGATAAAGTTAATGTATTGTTATGAATTGTTATGAGTTAGCCGTACAGCAAAGTTCAGCAAACAAATGTCACATTAAATAATTACATTAAACAATATAGGTAGCATTCAATCAAAATCCAAAAGTAAACATTTTCCTTGGAGGACATCGTGTAAATGAATATTCCGGTACAGACAAAAGGTCAGTGACTTCCATAGTTCAATCAGTATCCTCTTAAACAAGATAAAAGGTTATCCAAGACTACTTAAGCTTTAGATCTGTGGGCTAGGATGACACAGGAACTAATGTCAAGTCAGGGATGTAACTGAATAGTTGGTACATATTATTGAGATTTACAGCTGAACTTAATTGAGAATGTAGATCAGTTAAATTGGCTTTGGTTCCTGAGTAATCTGAATGACAGATGTCACAAAAACACCAACAAGGATTACATAGTTACATAGTTACATAGCTGAAAAGAGACTTGCGTCCATCAAGTTCAGCCTTCCTCACATATGTTTTTTGCTGTTGATCCAAAAGAAGGCAAAAAAAAACAGTTTGAAGCACAATTTCACAACGAGCTAGGAAAAAAAATCCTTCTTGACGCCAGAATGGCAGTCAGATTTATCCTTGGATCAAGCAGTTATTATCCTATATTGAAAGATTATATCCTTGAATATTCTGTTTTTGCAAGTATGCATCTAATAGCTGTTTGAACATCTGTATGGACACTGATAAAACCACTTCTTCAGGCAGAGAATTCCATATCCTGATTGTTCTTACAGTAAAAAAACCTTTCCTTTGCCTTAGACGAAATCTTCTTTCTTCTAGCCTCGTGTCCTATGTAAAGTCCAGTTTGTGAATAGATTTCCACACAATGGTTTGTATTGGCCCCGAATATATTTGTATAATGTTATCATATCCCCTCTCAGGCGACGTTTTTCTAAACTAAATAGGTTTAAATTTGTTAACCTTTCTTCATAGCTGATATGCCGCTTTGATTTTTTGCTGATAACATGTTCTTCTCAAGGAATTCTTGAATATTATCCCTTAATAACCTTTCAAATATTTTACCAGCCACAGAAGTTAAGCTCACAGGTCTATAATTTCCAGGCAAGGATTTTGAACCCTTTTTGAATATAGGAACCACATCTGCCTTCCTCCAATCCTCCGGAACACTTCATGAAAGAAAAGAATCTTGAAAGATTAAAAACAGAGATTCACTTATTTCTACACTTAGTTCCTTAAGTACACGTGGATGGATACCGTCAGTTTTTAGTAGCAATCATTTGCACATCTGTTGCCATGGGTTCTTCCTTAATATATACGGAGGAGAAATAGTTTATTTAACATTCCTGCCTTTTCCTGGTATTCATTAACTAACACCCCAGTTTCAGTTTTTACTGTACCCACACTTTCATTTTTGGGATTTTTAGAATTTATGTACTTAAAAAATGCTTTGGGGTTGGTTTTGCTCTCTTTAGCTATTATTTTTTCATTTTGAAGTTTAGCAAGTCTAATTGCATTTTTGCACGCATTATTTGCTTCCTTATATCTTTTATAAGATGCATCTGATTTGTCCGATTTAAATGCTTTAAATGCCCTTTTCTTATTTTTAATCTCTTGTTTTACTTCTCTACTAAACCACATCGGTTTTAATTTATTTCTTTTATATTTATTTCCCAATGGTACATACTGAGAAATGTACCTTTCTAATATTTGTTGGAAGATGATCCATTTATCCTCAGTGTTCTTTTCACTAAAGAGTTTATGCCAGTCAATATATTGTAAAGCTTACCTTAACTTATTGAAATTGGCCTTTTTAAAATTATATGTTTTAGTATACCCTATGTGCTTTTGTTTTTTTAAGTTTATTTCAAAGGACACTATATTGCTCACCTACTTGAATGTTGGTCAAAAGATCAACGTTGTTTGTTAAAACCAGGTCCAGACAAGCGTCCATTCTAGTTGGTGCTTGTACAAGTTGTGATATGAAGGTGTCATTTAACAAGTTTAAAAACCTAATTCCCTTTGCTGAGCTACTAGTCCCTCTGTCCCAATTTATTTCCAGGTAATTAAAATCTCCAATAATTAAAGTGTTACCCAGATTTGCAGCTTTCTCAATTTGCTCAAACAGCTGTTGTTCCTCGTCAATATTAACATTAGGTGGTTTATAACATATCCCAACCAATAGTTGGTTTCCCTTCTTTTCACCCAAGCAGATATTTACCCATAAAGCTTCCACATTTTCCTCATCGCATTCCATTTGCTTAAGATTTGCCTTTAAATCATGGTTGACATACAAACATACCCCAACACCCTTCTTGTTTTTCCTATCCTTCCTAAATAACATGTACCCATTTAAGTTAACTGCCCAGTCATGTGTCTCATCCCACCATGTTTCAGTTAGGCCTATTATATCATATTGTTTAGTGTATGCCAATGCCTCTAGTTCCCCCATTTTGTTATTTAGGCTCCTTGCATTAGTAAGCATACATTTAATATTATGCGTCACTTGTATATTTTGTGAATTATCAACATTACATAGCTTCTCTGTTCTGAGCTTACCCCTCCCCCCGTCTCCACCCCCCTTATACTGTACTAAAGCCCATCTCCTTTCTGTCCTATATCCATTTTGTAGATTGCTATGACTCTCCCCCCTCCTACTAGTTTAAAATCTCCTCCAAACTTCTAGCCATCCTATCCTCCAGCACTGCAGACCCTCTCCCGTTTAGGTGCAATCCATCACTACTATAAAGGCTGTACCCAATCGCAAAGTCGGCCCAGTGCTCTAAAAAACCCAAAACCCTCCTTCATGCACCAAGACTTAAGCCACGCATTGACCTCTCTAATCTCCTGCTGTCTTTCCACTGTAGCGCATGGCACAGGTAATATCTCAGAGAATACCACCTTGGAGGTCCTTTTCTTAAGTTTGCTAACTTATTCCCTGAAATCATTATTTAGGACCTTCCATCTTCCTCTTACTTTGTCATTGGTACCAACATGGACCATGATCTTTGAGTCATCCCCAGCCCCTCCCAATAATCCATCCACTCTGTCAGCAACATGCCGGACCCGAGCACCCGGGAGACAGCAAACTGTCCGGTTGAGCCGATCAGAGCGGCAGATTGCCCTATCTGCTCTCCTAATGATAGAGTCCCCTACCACCACAACCTGTCTTGGCTTCCTTACATTTTTATCCCCACCCGTACTAGGGGGGCTGTTAGCTCGGCTGTTAGAAGTAATAGCTTCCTCTACAGCTACTACTGAGCTGATGCTCCCAACATCTTCCCTCAAACGGGCAAATCTGCTAGGTTGCACCAAATCAGGACTAGCTAGCCCTTTCCTCTTCCCTCCCCCGCACTTCCTCACCCCACAGACACCCTGTTACATGCCTGTTCCCCATCTGTCTTATCTCCTCTCTCTCCACTACCTGTCCCCACTAAACTCTGCTCAGTGAGCAGCAGACTCCTCTCAAGATTGTCAATCTCCCTCAAAGTTGCGATTTGCTTCTCGAGATCTCCAATATGAGCTTCCAGAGAAGCCACTCGCACACATCCATCACAGAGTTATGGACCCTGGACGGGTACATCCAGGCATCCATACATGCAACAAGATGTGCATTGACTCAAACCAGCAATCTTGCTAACACTCATTTCCCCAGATACAGAACAATAAAACAATTACCTTGTTACGTTAAACCCCTTGCTTGTTTCAACTCCTGGTTTTCTAACTCCTACTTGAAAGAGTCTGCTTTCAAGTAATGTGAGCAAGCTCAGTGAGTTACGGGTGTGCCTTTATAGGGATACAAATCCCACACAGGTGCAATTAATGAACACTCCCCCAATCAATCAAGCAGCAGCACAAAAGAGGGGGGGAAACCAGAACACAGAAAAAAAAATTTTTCAAAACAAAACTTTTTTTTTTCTTTTTTAAACTTTACCAATTTTACAGATTAAACAAAAATAAAATACAAACCACTCTCCACAGTATACAAACCACTCCAAGCAATTCCTGGTTTTCTAACTCTTACTTGAAAGAGTCTACTTAATAATTCAATTCCCAGTATGACCAGCTTGAACTTGCCATGAAGAATCCCTTTTGTGTCACTTTTTTAGGTTTAGATCTAGAATCCTAGTTTATATTTTCTTGTGCACATTGTTTATTTTGTGTCCGGCCAGCTTTCATGTTTTTTCTTGAGTGAACAGAATAATTTCTCGAGTGAACAGAATGACTGTGAAACTGATTAACAGGTGAGTATGTCAGTAGTTTAATTATTGTGACATACCCATGACTTATTTGTAGCCAAAGAAGCATAACAGTGAAACATGGCCTTTTGATAGCTCCAAATCAGACAAGTACATGCATGGCCGAATTTACCCTCCCTGATGCACCAAGGCCAGATCCCTCATACATTTATATATATATATATATATATATATATATATACAGGCAGGGGTGCACTCACAGGTCTTTGAAAAAAACGACAACTAGGTTATTACTAATAACCTAGTTGTAATTTTTTTCAAAGACCTGTGAGTGCACCCCTGCCTGTATAAATATATATTTATAACGAGGGTAGCACCTAGACAATTTTGCTTTTCCTTTTTTTAGTAAGGAGAATGCCAAGCTGCTTTGGATTTTACATATATATATATATATATATCGTCCTGCCGTCTTGATTTAGTTCCCTTGTGTCCTGGAAGCTAGGGGCACCAGGGAACTGTCCCCAACAAGCACAGCGCAAGTGTATCATTAGAAGCATTTGTGCTATATTCATGGCACTAGGAAACAGTGCACACTGTAGGATCTTCCCTCAGTGGAACAGCCTAAATAATGGACAGATGACCTGGTGTGCATTCACGCCAGGCTGACCTCCCATTAATTTATGTGGATCTGCTTTCAAGATAGCCCTGCCCCCTTTGGGGTGGAGCCAGTGACACAATCATATTACTGGACCTCTCTCTTTAACCCCTCCCAGTTAGCCTGCCCTATACATTGTGAGTATATTTTATTATATTTTATATACCAGCATTATTTTACTGAGAGCACTATTGCTGTTTTATTATCTTCTCCCTGAGCTCCTGTTACCATCTTAAAGAATTATTTTAAAGAACACTCACCATACATCCCAGAGGCGGGGATCATACCGCTGCATGCCTACTATACTAGAGCTAGTATAAGCTCTATTAAATGTGAGTGTATCTATTATATTTTAATACTTTTTATCCACTTTTGGAACATACTGCACCATCACTGTTTTTCGTTTTATCTTCCACCTGGTTGCCTGTCACTACACTGAAGAGGAAGCTCACCGTATATCCTACAAGCGGGGATATTACCGCTGCAAGCTATTCATACCAGAGCTGGATTAAGCTCTACAAAAAGTGAGTATTATCTCTTGTTTTTTTTTTGGATACCTTTCGGATCACTCTTTACCATCTCATTATCCATCGTCCTCCTCCATATATCAGTAAGGAACAAAATTCTACAACTTCAGAGACCAACATAAGACCAAAGTTTTATTACACTGAACTCTATTTCAATACCTTAACCAGGACTTTTTTATTTTGTTTATTGGCGCAGTCCAATCCTTCTGATTGATACTGACATATATACATATATACTGTGGCAGGGTCAGAGAGGCTTTTTATGTTAGTAATAGATTGGAGCGCTCTCTATTCCCAGCATGATGGGGTTAATTGGTGGGAGTCACCCCTTGAATGTTATCAACCAGGTGAATGTAATTAACCAGCACTAGGGTTTTAAAAGGTTAGCCTCTGAAGACATGGAGGGGATCTAACAGCTGCGAGAGAGGAGGCAGTTAAGCCTGAGACTCTGAGAAAAAGGTACTGTGTGAAACCTGCTTAAAGTGCTGTATTTCATTTTATTTAAAATTGGGAACCAGATTAGCTGGCCAGTTGAATAGTTAGTAATACTGTTTAGTAAGTCTCCAAGTTGAAGTAGGATTTATTTTCTTTTTGTTTTATTTTTGTGGGAGACCACAACCTTGTATATATTGTGGAAAGTGACAATAAACTGCAGTACTATTTTATCCTGACTGTTACAGTTGAAGTTTATTGCGAAGAGCCTGGCCATCCTGCCACAATACATACATTCATATATACATCCATGCATACTGACATACATTGATACTTGCATACATACTGACAGACATATACAGACATCCATATACACACAGACATACGTTCATAATGACATGCAGACATACATTGATACTGACATATATACATACATAACATACATGCATGCATTCATACACACACACACACACACACACACACACACACCTCATTTTCCAGCCACCCTCCTGTTTCTAACCTTTTCTTTGCAGTAGGGTGGCTGGGGCTGATAGGAGTCGGCTGGCTCTGCCTCGCCGCCGGGTGCGCGCTCCTCCCGCGTGGAGTGAGCTGGGAGGAAGTGACCATTTCCTCCCAGCAGCACTTGCTGCATTTTTTGTATGTTTGTTTGTTTTAAAAGGGGCCCAGTCACACTATACCACGGCCACAGTGCTGACCGGGCCCCTGAAGATATACGGCCCATCGGGTGGCCCTAAGTGTGTGGGCCACCCGATAGGCCCCATCAGCGTGTGGGCCCCGGTGCAACTACACGTAGGGCACGGGCGGCCGAGCCCATGACATCCGTCATGGTTGTCCCCGATGATGGCGTCTCTGCTCACAGACATACACACACTGTCACTTACACACTCACACTGACATATATACAAAGTGTCACTTACACATTTTCTCTAAAACACTTTCACTGACATACAGTCTCACTTACACATACTCACTAACATACATTCTCACTGACATACCCAGTGTCACTTACACATTCTCACTAACACATACATTCTACCTGACATACACAGTGCCGCTTACACACTCACTAAGATACACACACTCTCACTGACCTACAGTGTCACTTACACACTCTCAAACAAACACACTCTCACTGACATACACAGTGTCACTTACGCACTCTCACTGGCATACATACCGCGGTCGCAGGGGTCGCAGCTGCGACCTGATCCAGCCCACCAGGGGGGCCCGGCCACCCTGCAACCCAGGTATGTATGCCAGTGCGACCATGGCTGTATTTTGCCACTTCAGGGCCCCCCGAGGCTGGCAGTGGCGTCACTTGGCGGGCGAGTACACGAGGGAGCATTCTACCCTAAGCTTTCTCTGCCCAGCTCCCTTGCATGCATTGCAGTGATGCCGGAGCCGGAATATGTCACTCCAGCATCAGTAAGTGGCGTGCGAGTGAGCTGAACAGGAGGATCAGTGCGACCTCGTCGCCTGCAGTGACCGGCCACCCAGCAGCCCCACTGGACCCCAGGGAAAGCTGGAATCACCTCAGCACTCCCAAAGGTAGGGAGGCCTGGGGGATTAAATTTAAAAAAAGTGTGTGTCAGTGTGTGTGTGTGGGTGTGTTACTGTGTGTCTGTTACTGAGTGTTAGTTGTGTGTTAGTTTGTGTGTTAGTGAGTCTGTTTGGTGTCTGTAAGTGAGTGTGTCTGTTAGCTAGTGTCTGTAAGTGTATGCGTCTGTTCGTGAGTGTGTGTATGCCTGTCTGTTAGTGTGTGTTTGTTAGTGAGAGTGTATGTATTTGTCAGTGAGTGTGTATGTGGGTCTGTCACTATGAGTGTGTATGTGTGTCTGTATGTATGTGTATCTCTTGGTCTGCATGGGTATCTGTTTGTCTGTATATGTATCTGAATGTTTGTCATTAAAGGACCACTATAGCCAGGAAAACAGCTGCAGGGTTAAAACTAAAGGGACAGGGCACCCAGACCACTACATTGAGCTGAAGTGGTATGGGTGACTATAGTGGTCCTTTAAGTTTATGTGTATCTGCATGCACTGGCGTACATACTGTGGTTGCCCTGTGACCCCTGCCACCAGGTGCCCGCTGCCATGAGTTGCGGCCCCAGCCTACGCAGTGTAAGCGCTGGGGGGGGCCCACAGATCAGTTTTCTCACCGGGGCCCCATGGATCATGTGTATGCCACTGCTCTCCCTGACATACACAGTGCCGCTTACACACTCACAAACATACACACTCTCACTGACATAGTGAAAGTGTAACTGACACAGTATGTCAGTGAGAGTGTGTATGTTAGTGAAAGTGTAACTGACACAGTAACATAAACACTCTCTCTGACATACAGTGTCACTTACACACTCTCACTGACATACACAATGTCATTTACACACAGTCACTAACACACACACTGTCACTGACATACACACAGATTCACTTACACACACACACACACACTCAGTGACATTCACAGTGCCACTTACACACTAACACACACACTGTCACTCAAACACAAACTCACACCACTTTACATATAGTCACACTTTATTTACACACACAAACACAGCAATTCAATACACACAGACCAATTTACAATCATATACTCATAATTAGTTCCGCTTACCTTCAGATGGACCATACATAAGTTCTATGAATGGAGGAGAAGGGCCCAACCTGCAGGTAGCTGCCATTGTTCTTGGCGGGGAGGGCAGGAGAGCAGTATACTGTGAGCACAGGCTACTTCCTGTTCCCCTCAGAGAGCTTCCGGTGTTCACAGGCAGGGGCAGCCTGGATACCAAGTCATGTCCCGGCTGCCCCTGCCTGTGATACCAAGTCATATCCGGCTTCCCCTGCCCGCAGAAAGCCCAGTACTTTGCTCGGGTGCTGGGGTTACGGCATAACCCGCTCCCCAAGCAGGTAATCAGAGGCAGAGGGAGCCAGTAGCTGAATGGATGCGCTGGGGGTGGATAAGGAACTGCTTGCCCAGCACACCAGCCCCAGATAGCAGCAGGGCTGCCCACCGGAAAACATCCCAGTGGGTGCCCTCCAGAGGCCGGTGCCCCAGGTGAATGCCTTATTTGCCTAATAGTATCGCCAGCCCTGGTTCCAGGCATGTGGCAGCTTAGTCTCCAAAAAGGGGTTTCCGGACCTCTGGGGAGGGGAGCACTTCAAGTCCCAAGTATCCTCTGATGCTTCCTTGCCTCCCTAAACTTCCTTCCAAATAGTGCTCTATTGGAGATCAGATTTACCTCGCCTCCACACAGTCCCGATCCAAGGAACTTTCCACGGTATTTTCTGGTCAGACGATCAAGGTGTAAAATGAGTCCAGGTGATCCCCAGAGGTCGACAAGTCCGGCTGGGAAGCACAGGAAGCCTTTGTGGCCCCCAAAGTGGCTATTGCCCTTTTTAGGAGCTCTTGAGACCAGGCCCATAGTCCGTGGGCAGAATTCTGTCCTTTACACGTCTCCATCCAGAAGGCTATCTGTTATATTTGTATGTATGTATATATAGAATAAAACCTGCCAAGAATGAGTTACATCAAGCATGTCAAACACAACGGGCCACATATACAAGGTTTAAGTTTATGTGGGCCTAAAAAAACCCAAAACATTACATCTTCATAGAAACGTAGGTTTGTTTTGAAAAGTACAGTATTAAAAAAAAAAAAAAAGCACCCCCCTCTACTAAATCCCAGTCCACCCCTCTGTACTAAATCCCAGTCCCCCCTCTGTACTAAATCCCAGCACCCCCCTCTATACTAAATCCCAGCAAATCCACTCACATTGCTGCTGCCAATATGCGATTCGGGAGTCCGGCCTCTGGCATATCCCTAATGGGGCCATCGGCATCCTGTGCCAAACAGATCCTCCTGCTACTCCTTGAAAACCTGTGAAGGTGGAACACGTTGATGTCACGTTAGACTGTGACGTGGCGTTGCGTGCATCTGTGCACCTCCAGGTCCTCCACTGTCCAGCCGCGGCCATTGCAACACTGACTAACACACACTGACAGACACACACACACACCCTCTCTGACAGACACACATACACACTGACAGACACACACACATTTACACATTATTGCACACACTCACATCATTTTATGTATTGCTCCCTACCTTTGGAGGCTGGTGTGGGGCCTCTCCCTGATCTTCTTACAAGAGCTCAGTCTTCCTGCTCCCTCACGTGCGCAGTTTAGTGATGCCGGGTGCCGGAATGACGTCATATTCCGGTACCCAGCATCACTACAGAGGGTGCACCCCGGCCAGGTATTTTGGGCAGAGTAGGCACCTGCAATGTGGAGAGAGCTTTATTAAGCATGGCAAACACGTGGCTCGCCGGGCCGCAAAAAAATTCAGTGTGGGCAGCGAGTTTGACATGCATGGGGTACATTGATGTTTTGGCAGACTTATGCAATGTATGATCATATGCTGTAACTAAACAGCCATTATATTGCTGTTTAGTGAATGAGCAAGTGAGTTGGAGTGTGTTTTTTGTATGTTTATATACATATACACAGTATCTCACAAAAGTGAGAACACCCCTCACATTTTTGTAAATATTTTATTATATCGTATTTTATAATAACACTGAAGAAATAACAATCTGTTACAATGTAAAGTAATAAGTGTAACGAACCGCTGGCACCCCGACCGGGTACCTTCCGCTGACGGATGCTCCTAGCGCTTCCTGAGGACTTCAAGCACTACAGCAGACACCACAACCACCAAATCTGAGAAGCATAGGAATCCTCTCTACAGGGCCGGATTAAGAGCATAGTGGGCCTGGTGCTGACAATTATGATGGGCCTTATTACAGAATCTTATCGACCAAAAACACTAAAACAGTCATACCTCCCAAGCGTCATGTATCTGATGGAGATGGTGCTGGATGGAAACTCATAGGATGCAGCTATAAGAAAACACATACGCTATGCTAATTTCTCTCTAATTTATGCTTTAATCTTTCAAGTAAATCCATAACCCCTAACAGCAGTGTCCAGTGAAGCAGGAAGTCAATTGGCGGGGTAAAAGGGTGTGCCACTGGCGCGAATCACGTGACAAGACCTGCCAAAAGGGGTGAACATGCCCAAAAAGGGGGCATGTTTGTCCAAAGAATTGGAAGGTCAGCCTGGCATGAATGCATGTCAGGTTGCCTGCCAATCCTGCAGGCTGTCCAACTAAGGGCATACAATGCAGGCAGCACCTTGAGCTTGACATAAATGCGTCTAATGATGCGCTCACTCCATTCTTTCTAAGGACTGTCCCCTAGCACTCGCTGGTCCACTTGTCTCCTTACCTTCTTACTAGCAGGCAGAAGTTCCTGGTATAGTCTGAGACAGAGAAAAGGTGTCTGTAGTGAGTGTAGAAGAAAGGGGACATGCCACAGTGTTAGAGAGACCAACGTCTGCATTACCTAAACTAACTTTAATGTCAGCCAGTGCACACAAGTTTTGTTCCCATACATCCCTCTTAAGCTTCCAAACTTAAAGGGACACTATAGTCACCAGAACAACTACAGCTTATTGTATTTGTTCTGGTAAGTAGAATCATTCCATTCAGGCTTTTTGCAGTAAACACTGTCTTTTCAGAGAAAATAACTCCACTGGCTGCTCCTTAGATGGCTGCTAGAGGTGCTTCCTAGGGCTGTACTGCCTAGTGCGCAGCACTGCCATTCAGTGTCTCCACCCTCTGCATGCAGACACTGAACTTTCCTCATAGAGATGCATTGATTCAATTTATCTTTATGAGGAGATGCTGATTGGCCAGGGCTATGTTGGACTGACTCTGCCCCTGATCTGCCTAGTTGACAGTCTCAGCCAATCCTATGGGGAAGTATTGTAATTTGCTCAGACCACCACTTCTGAGCCAGCAGCTGCAGAATTGAATACAAGTAATATTTTACTATATTTAGGGAGGCAAGAAGGGGCCAGGGTGGTGGTTTTAACATAATAGGGTAAGAAATACATGATTGTGTTCCTGACACTATAGTGCTCCTTTAAGCAAGAGTATGTGAAGAGTAGTTAAGGTTGCCACATTTCTTGGAAAAAAATACCAGCCTTAATCATTTGCATAATTAATTAGTTATGCGTGTAAATCACAAGGAGTGACATCAGAGAAAATTCTGTAAAATCACCAACAAACTACTCACAGTTTGATTCTGCTGTATAGATTGCTCCCAGTGTCTCAATGTCTCCCAGTGTCTCAGTCTTGCAAGTCACCCTGTGTCTCAGTGTCCCTATGTATCACAGTGTCAGTGTCCCCATCTCGCCCAGTCCCCTAGTCTCCCAGTGTCTGTGTCCCCATTTCCCCCAGTGTCCCAATGTCTCAGTGTGTCCCCATGTCACTAGGATACTGGGGACACTGAGAGACATGGGGACACAGAGACCCGGGGACACAGAGACATGGGGACACTGAGACATTTAGGGAAACTGGGAGAAATGGGGACACTGAGACACTAGGGACACAGACACTGGGAGACATGGGGACACTGAAACATTTGGGGACACTAAGACACTAGGGATACAGACATGGGAACACAGACATTGGGAAACTAGGGGACACTGGCTGGGAGACATGGGGACAGTTGTGGACATAGACATGTGGACACTGGGACATATAGGGACACTGGGAGACATGGGGACACCAGGCACACTGAGACACTAAGAACACAGACACTGGGAGACATGGAGACACTGAAACATTTGGGGACACTAAGACACTAGGGACACAGACACTGGGAGATTAGGGGATACTGGGATACTAGGGGACACTGGCTGGGAGACAGTCACTTGGGGAGACATGGGGACAGTTGTGGACATAGACATGGGGACATTGGGACACATGGGGACACTAGGCACACTGAGAGACATGGGACACAGACACTGGGAGACTTGGGGACACTGAGAACCTAGGGACACTGGCTGGGGGACATAGTGTCTCCATGTCCCAATGTCTCCAAATGTCCCTATGTCTCACAGCGTCCCCATGTGTCTCAGCATCCCCATGTGTCCCTAGTGTCTCAGTGTCCCCGTGTTTTCCAGTGTCCCCAGGTCTCACAGTGTCTGTGTCCCCATGTGTCCTAGTGTCTCAGTGTCCCCTAGTGTCTGTGTTCCCATGTGTCCCCTAGTATCTGTGTCCCCTAGTGTCTGTGTCCCCATGTCCCCAAGTGTCTCAGTGACCCCATGTTTTCCAGTGTCCCCAAGTGTCTCAGTGTTCCCAGGTCTCCCAGTGTCTGTGTCCTAGTGTCTCAGTGTCCCCTAGTGTATGTGTCATCATGTGTCCCCTAGTGTCTCAGTGTCCCCTAGTGTCTCAGTGTCCCCATGTGTCCCTGCTGCCTTTCCCCCCATCCCTCACTTACCTGAGCTGTAGAGCAGTTGTCTGGACTCTGTGCTGTGTTGCTGCTCCCCCACGGATCAGTAAGTAGTAGAGAGAGGCAGGGATATTCTGTAACTTAGTATGCCTGCCTCTCTCTATACACAGTGACCCCTACTGGCCGGTGCTGGTATTGCAGAGTAATCTCTGTTTATACTGAGACTAATATTTGCATTTGTATTGCCAGTATTACTGCAATACCGTCACGGCCAGGCAGCCTCAAATACTGGCTGTGCCTTAAAATACCAGTCAGGTGGCAAACCTAAGAGTAGTGTGTAAAAAATTTTTTTTTTAAATGGGCCTATTCCATGGGCCTGGGCCTGGAGCTGCAGCTCCATCAGCCCCTATGTTAATCCGGCCCTGCCTCTCTAGCATATGAATGCTGTATACAGCTGAATAGGAACCATACGGATAGGTTTACTCTCATAGCAGTCAAACTGGAACAGCATACAATAAATCCTTCCCCCCAATAATGAGACGACACTTCACTTTGAGGGTTAAAACAGGAACTCAGGTGCTGGCACACCCAGCCTGGTTTTTATTACAGTCTTTGCAAATACAGGACCGCCCACAGGGAGGTATAAAACAACCAATCACATCACAGTTATATCCCACATATCCCCTCCCCTTATCCTGAGAGGAAACTCAATTACACATACAGTTAAAACATACTTGTTTGACCCAACTTTCATAACTTTAACACCATACATCACATTCACATAAAATTACATATTCACAATCAATCCATTCAGGGGAACAACATATAAAAAAATGTCATGAATCCGACCACGGGTTCAAAAGTTAGTAAAAGTATCTTTTGGGCCCTGGCTGGCACATGGCTATCTGGCTCAAACAGGTTTTACAGAGCCCTCTATCCTGGAGACAATGGGGGAAAGTAATCCAATTATCCAGGGATAGAGGCAGACTCCATTGAGCACATGGTTGCAAAAAGACATAAAACACTTTAAAATACATAAAGTCACCTTTTACACATAACACACAGACATTTCACATATCCCCAGATAGCTGGGATCTGAGCGCACAAAACTACTGAAGAGCGCTCAGATCCTATTCACACAGTTCAATTGCCATGGAGCCGAAGTCTTTAACTACACGAATGGGCTCCATGGCATAGCTATCTGGGTTAACACATTCACATAAAGTCTGGTCCATAGTCCAAAGGCAAGAGGCGGGCAAGCAGCCCCCTCCAAGGACACGTGGCGAGGCCGGTTTCGCCACAATAAGTGTACAGCCTGTATAACAGTGTAAATTTGCTGTCCCCTCAAAATAATTCAACATACAGTCATTAATGTCTAAACCATTGACAACAAAAGTGAGTACATATGTAAGTGAAAATGTCCAAATTGGGCCCAAAGTGTCAATATTTTGTATGGCCACCATTATTTCCCAGCACTGCCTTAACCCTCATGGGCATGGAGTTCACCAGGTTGCCACTGAAGTCCTCTTCCACTCCTCCATGACGACATCACGGAGCTGGTGGATGTTAGAGACCATGCGCTCCCCCATCTTCCATTTGAGGATGCCACACACACAGGGTTTAGGTTTGGAGATATGCTTGGCCAGTCCATCACCTTTACCTTCTTTAGCAAGGCAGTGGTCGTCTTGGATGTGTGTTTGGGGTCGTTATTGTCACACCAAGGGTGCATAATTCATTGTTGCTCAATAGAATATTGCCATTTAGTGCATACATGAATTGGCCACTTGGTAGGGGGTCAGATGACAAAAGTGGTAATGCAAATTGTATAGGAATGTAAAATGGGGCAGATGGTTTGCAACATGGATGGATACTTTGATTAATCAAAGGCTCTGCAGGGTGTGAGATTCTACACTGGAGATGCCTGGATATCTAGTTCCAAGCTCTGCACGGTGTGAGATTTTACACTTGAGATGCCTGAATGTCTAGTCCCGATGTAAACTAACTGACCTCAGCCATATGGCCTCTGCGTCTTAATTGATGAGTTCATTTCTTTGATATGTTAATGGTCATTAGCCTTGTGTTCAAGTATCATATACAAAAGAAACATTAATATGTACCCACAGAATAATAATTAAGCCTCATTTTTATTATATTTAGAATGGGACAAGTACCATCTTCTAAATAAGACTAAACATGATTGGCATAACTTAACCATATGGGAAGGGATTGGGATGTTTGCTATATTAGGTCACAAGTAAGAAGTGTGACATATCTATGGAATGGAGAAATGGTAACAAATTCATAGATGCAATTATTATTTATGTGGCAAGTACAAAAGTGAAGATAGAAGAAAAAGTTTCTATTTGGATTGATGTGGATCTGGAACACAAGGGGGTGGTCACTTATTGTCTCTATAGAGCAGCCTTAACTCCACCTCTAGGCCAATCTTGGTAATCCACAGGGTATATATACAATGATACTGAAATGTGTATTGTACTTGCTTGGGGGCAAAATCGAATTCCAAGTGAGTCCCCATATTTCTTACCCCTTGGGAAGAAGTTTTACTTTGAAAATCTGAGTAAGTAATTAGAACTTCTGTTGTTTTATCCCTTTTGTTTTTATCTGTTTTTGGTGTAACTAATTTTGTTGTCATCTATATTTTTGTATGCACTGTGACTATTTTTTGCTCATAATAAATATTCCTTTATTACGTTCTGCCTTTGTTTAGTAAAGAATCACGTTACCTGAAGAGACTAATTAGTGTTTTGCAATTACATAGATATCGTGTTAAGTTGTATTTGGTAGTTTTTATTATTAAAAATGGGGAATAAGGCACCCCATTTATAAATTGTCTTGGTTGTGGCAGTGTTAAAATAGTAATATTTATATTATTATGCTTAAGTGTGAGTGGTGTTAAGTGGGATGTTTTCATTATTTCTGGTCTAGTGCAGACAAATGGTGAGCTTTAACCCTTTCACCACCAGAACTATGTCGCACACACTCTTGAAATAGGGTGCATTTGTGACAGTTATCATGTTGGAATACTGCCCTGTGGCCCAGTCTCCAAAGGGAAGGGATCATGCTCTGCTTCAGTATGTCACAGTACTTGTTGGCATTCATGGTTCCCTTAATGAACTGTAGCTCCCCAGTGCCGGCAGCACTCATGCAGGCCTAGACTATGACACTCCCACCACCATGCTTGACTGTAGGCAAGACAAACTTCCTTCTGGGACGACAGCCATGCAGACCAGTGCTTTGAGCACTGACAGGCTGACCACCCACCCCTGTCCTGTGAAACCGCTGTATGGCCTTGCCCACTGTGCTGCAGCTCAGTTTCAGGGTCTTGGCAATCTTCTTATAGCTTAGGCCATCTTTATGTAGAGCAACAATTCTTTTTTCAGATCCTCAGAGAGTTCTTTGCCATGTTGAACTTCCAGTGACCAGTATGAGAGAGTGTGAGAGTGATAACACCAAATTTAACACCAAATTTAACACACCTGCTCCCCATTCACACCTGAGACCTCGTAGCACTTACGAGTCACATGATACCATGCCACCCCCTCTTCCCCGCCTTCTAAATACACACACACACACATTCACTGACAGACACGCATACACTAGCTAACAGACATACACACTCACTAACAGACACATACAGTCACTAACAGACACACACACGACACACTCCCTGACATACACTCACTAACAGACACTCACACTAACAGACACAGATACACATACTAACAATCACACTCACTAACAGTCACACACACACTAACAGACACACACACACACACACACACACTAACAGTCACTCACTAATACACACACACTAACAGACACACACACTCACATTCACACACTCACTTATGTTTTTTATTTAAATTCAACCCCCTCCTCCCCCAGCCTCCTTACCTTTGGGAATGCTGGGGGGGGGGGTTCTTCCTCTCCCTCTGGGTCCAGTGCTGGCGAGGGAGCACTTTCTCCTGAGCTCTCTGCTCAGCTCCCTTGCATGCTGCAGGGTGATGCCGGGAGCCGGAATCAGGGCAGGCACTCAGGGGAAAGTGCTCCCTCGCCAGTGCCAGTGCCGCCCGCATGGATTTTTACCTAGCCGCCCGCTTGCCTATTGGCAAGTACACCCCTAAGTGGAAATGTCAAAATTGGGCCAAATTAGCCATTTTCCCTCCCTGGCAGGGACATTTTAGCCACAAGGCTAACAAGGCATTTTCCCTGGGCATTTGGGGTGGCTTTTTTTGCCGCCCCCTGGAAAATGCAGCCCAAGGCAAATGCCTTGTTTGCCTCGTGGCTAAAATGTCCCTGCCAGGGAGGGAAAATGGCTAATTTGGCCCAATTTTGACATTTCCACTTAGGGGTGTACTTGCCAATAGGCGGACCTAAGGGTGGGGGGACCCAAGGGTTATATAGTGTCAGGAAAACAAGTTTGTTTTCCTGACACTATAGTGATCCTTTAAGGATAAAACACTTAAAGGAACACTCCAAGCACAATAACCACAACAGTGTGCTGTAGTAGTTATAGTGTCTGTCAGGATTTCTCTAGCGACCCCCATTGTAAGAAGTCAAACTGTAAAAGAACACTTTGACTTCTTACTTGTAGTCAGCTGGATCCGCTCCCTGTCTCCACTACTGCTCAGTGAGAGCCAGAACCACTTGGAAATCATTGGCCCTGGCCCTGGAGACCCATATTCTAGCATGTCAATTCTCTCTAATGACACTGACATGCTGGCTTCACTGCCAGCACATCTTCATCAGAACATCTTATAGTACCCCTACAAGCGTGAGAACAGCTTGCTCAGAGAGTAGTATTGTGAGAGGGAGCAGGAGAATCTCCTTTAGGAAGGTTCTCCTTCTCACCCTGTCACTCACTCCTGGATTAAATCTTTATGCCAAAGATTGATTGCAGTGAAATTAAAATATGTCCGTTTCCTAGCATTTCTGCTAGTTTACACAAATGGTGTGACTATTAGTGTTGTGCTGCTACAGCAGGCCGTGCTTGTGCTAATGAAATGCTCTGCTGAAACTGACAATGAAATAAAACTGCTGTAATCTTATTAACTCTAAACCACTGCATCAGACAGCGATACCTCTTTATTTTAACTGCAAGTCATGGAGTACAGCAGAAATAGGTACAGCTTGCACACTTTGCTGGAATCTGTACAGTTATAAAAATATTAGTGAACCCATCATTATTCGCACATGTAACCTTGGCCTGAATCAGCCTTTAAAACCCCAGAGCACACACTAGTGTCAATGATTGGTATTCATCTGCTTTTGTGCTATTAACTTAGCATTCCTCACCTCTCTTAGCCCCTTCCTGCGATCTTATCTCCAGTTCTTGCTTCTCCTGTTTCTGCTCTTTACAACCTCTGTTTTCCTATTGGACTACAAACATTTGCTCTAGCCCTTGTCTTCAACAAAAAGATCGCCTTCTCCAATTATTTAACTCTTGTTTTTTCTGCTTTAGCCTACATGTTTGTTCCCTGATTGCTCCATTAAAGTCCCTGTGCTTAAATGCACCTTCTTGGTCCCAATCCTGAGCTCGTCTTAGAAGTGATGTCTGGCTTGCCATTACACAACCAGTAACACTGACAACCCATTTTCATAATTAAACTCCACATGTTACTTAAAAAAATTACTTTTAATTTATACTTTATGGTAATGGTAACAACATTTCTGGCAGTTGTATAAATATTTTTTTCCAGTTCATGTTTAAGGTATGGAACCTGCATCTGCACATCCTTCAGGAGAGCAATAGCATTCTTCAACTCTAAATGTGCACCGACAAGACTCATACACTTTGACGAGAGTCATCTGAAAGTAAGGTCCATGCATTTTTTAGCCTCTCCGTCCAACGGCTGCCAATCATAGATGTTCTCCTTTGCTGGAGAATTGACCAGCACAATGTATAGATTACTTCAACATTGACCTTACTCTGGATGTCAAGTTCATTTTAGAAGTTTTTTCAGGAAATCCAGTACTCAGTGGCTGAGCATCCACAAACTAAAACAATTTGTTAAGTCTGTTAAGTTCAAGGATAAAATTTGAGAACTTTCAAGTAAAAAAAAAAAAAGTTTAAAAAAATAAATAAAAAAAAATTAGAAATAATTCACACAGATGATTTTAACCTCAAAAGCTCCTGGAAACAGGGGCTTTTAAAACACTTATGTTTCATTCTTCTAACCCTCCTGCCTCCTCTTAAAGGGACACTATAGTCACCCAGACCACTTCAGTTCAATGAAGTGGTCTGGGTGCCAGGTCCCTCAGGTTTTAACCCTGTTTCAGAGAAACTGCTATGTTTACATTTGGGGTTAAGCCAGCCTCTAGTGGAGCCACTAGAGGTGCATCTGCAACACTGGAGGCATATCATGCATCTATCGCGCAGAGCGTCCATAGGAAAGCATTGAGAAATCCTTTCCTATTGACAGCTTGAATGCGCGCGCCTCACTTGCCGCGCATGCACATTCGGCTCTGCTGACGTCGGCAGAAGGAGCTGACGTCGGCGGGGGAGGAGAGGTCACCAGCGCAGAGAGGGCCCGGCGCTGGATTAAGGTAAGCTGCTGAAGGGGTTTTAACCCCTTCAGCGCCATGGGAGGGGGACCCTGAGGGTGGGGGCAAGCTCAGGGCACTATAGTGTCAGGAAAACCATTTTGTTTTCCTGACACTATAGTGATCCTTTAATATAAAAATGCATTGGTCAAGCATCACTGGGTCTTTAAGAGGCCCTGTTACACCCCCTACATTTTGACCAAATCATAAAGATAAAAATCTTTATGAAATGCTCATAAAGACTGAGTTGGAATTCCATTAAGCTACTGCCGTCAACTTTCGTCACTTCACATAGCTGTCACTAGCAATGGCTGTGGGATAATATCTATGGAGGCTTCTGCAGTCCTGCAGGATTCTCCATAGACATTATTATTGTACTCCTGCGCATGTGCTACAGTACTGCAGTGAAGGAGGTTTCTGGCAGGTGAAGTGTCAGGAGCATACCAGCAGGTAAGTACTGTATTTCACCGCTTAATAGTCGCCACTGCATAATAGTCGCACCCTGGGTTTTTTAATAAAAAATTGGTTCAAATTCAATTCATCACATAACAGTTGCATATTTGACCATTGCTGTTATTGTTGTGAGACATTCTTATTCTTGAATACTGATGGCGAACATCCTACTGATCTTATACTGAAGAAAGGGTTTATTACCTATTAGTTTATTGTATTTTAGTGCATCTTCATGTAATGCATTAAGAAATGGCAGGAGGACATGGATCAGCATCACTGTTTATGTAATGCATTAGAAAATATGCTGTTTTGTTATTAGCAACTATAATTTTTTTCAGTAACAGTTTAAAAAACTGTTAAAAAAAAGTTTTGCATATATAATATCGCAAAAAATAAAGCTTCACATAATGGTTGCACTCCGCATAATGGTCACACCCCTATTTTTTAAGGAAAGGAATTAGGCATAAAATCTGCGACGATTATGCTGTGAAATATGGTTGATGTCACCTGTACTGAACCCTTTGGCTACTACACCCTAAGTAACAATGTCATTAATGGGGGATTATGCAAAATATAGACCTCAATAGGTGACAGGCTAACGTTAATTTAGCAAGTCTGAAAAATTTCCTGCAAGGTTTGTTAGTTACTGCATTGTGACTGGACATAAATAAGCAGTCAATCCCAATGAGGGAGTTTGTCAGAAGGATGAAGCAGTGCTGTAAGGAAGGCTCGGCTTTGTTTCAGCCACTATATGAAATGGTTCTTTTTGTTTCCTGTTAAGTTTTGTTTTGTTTTAATAAATGTGTCTTTTTTGCATTTTGGTGTGTCTAATTCTGTGAGCAGGAGGTCTCATGATGGGTATCATTTTACTGTTTGCAGTTAACATGCTCTGCAAGAGAGAGAACTTTATTAACTGTATTTTCCAGCGTAGTTCTGGCATTCTGCTAATTATGGTGCAGACATTATATACACGTTCATGGAGCAGGTCGACACACAAGCTTATAGAAACATAGAATGTGACGGCAGATAAAAACCATTCAGCCCATCTAGTCTACCCAGTTAGATGGGCCGAAACATATAGTGGTTTAAACAAAGCCGAGCCTTCCTTACAGCACTGGGTCACCCTTCTGACAAACTCCCTCATTATGATTTACTGCTTATCCATAAACGATTGCCAGAAGTGCCCTGGCTGTCCCTAGTTGTAAGTTTTCAAATCGCTTTAGAATGGTTTGACTTCACACCTGTGGTCTACAGGTTCTAACTGTCACCACTACAGCTGACAGAGTCAGACACTCCTGCTTGGAGCTTCCCTTAGCTCTTCTGAGCTACGCCTTGCATTGTGCCAAATGTTCACATTCAGCCAATAAGCTAGGTCCCGCACTGCTGGGCTCAGCTCAGACACAGAGTTTCCGTCTCTTTGCAGGCTGTATTAGAGATGGGTAGCAGAGACCGGCAGATCCCAAGTAAGAAGTCAACCATTCTAAAATGGTTTAACTACTCACACTGGGTGAGAGTCCACACACTCCAGGTACCATGAGTGCTGTAGTGGTTATGGTGCTTGGAAAATTTCTTTATTGGCAAAAACTGCAAACAGTTTCAGTGTGGTGGAGGACTAAAGTATGCTTATATCATGGGAAAATAATGTCAATAAGCACAATAAACCATTAAATTGAAAGCCATGTGATTTATGAGAGTCTGCAGAACTCCAAGATGTTATTATTTTCACGTAACACGCATAATGTTTTATAATACACGATTACAAATATTTATTTTTAATTTTGTTTTGGAATACCTCAATTGGTCACTGCTATTTATACTGCTGTGGAATGCAGCACATACATACCGGTATATACACTTACACATAAGCTTACACATAGTTATAATTATAGGTCCTTTTGCCTCAGTACAGTACCAGGACATGTCACAACCTGCCTGAGACTGATGGGAGTCAGAACAAAATGAAGATAGCTGCAAATTATTGCTGGAACCTGGGAATGTGACTACCATCAGTCTAAGTCAGCCTGGTCCATTAAGTGGTTTGTCATGTCTCCTGAAACTCATACACGACATTATGCTACAATAACATAGTTCTTTGTTTCTCAATGATTCTTTACAGATGGGACAAAACATTCTAAGTAGTATACTGTATCATAAAAGGAAGCACAAAGCTCTTCCAATCAACAAAATATTTCCCAGACAGGAAAGGGGGAAAAGGAAACAATGACAAATAAATAAAGACATATAAATGACAAAAATATAATGCAGTATAAGACAAACTAAAAACAAATGGAATTTTAGAATGTAGAATAAAATGAAGTGAATTAAGAATAGAATGTAGAATAAAACTGATCTACATTCATGAGGAGAGAGATATAAACGGGCTTTAAAAAAAAAAAAAAAGGAAAGAAAGAAGAGACAGGCACTGTCATCACAGCAAGAGACAGAGCAGCAGGGGGAAGGGAAGGAGAGGGAAGATCTCGGAGTGAGTCAGGAAGAGGGAGGAGGAATAAAGATTAAAAATGGCCACCAGCAGCTGCTGGAAACAGCAACAACTCCTGACTTTCCGGAATGGTCAGACTGGCCCTGCCGGTCAACATTGATGGAAGGAGCAGGGATCAGAGCAAGCACACAGCATCAGCTGGCACATCTGTCCCTGCAAGGTGGCCATAGCAGTGCCAGGGAGCCAACAGGGCACAATACACAATCCCCAGGCTCACTGCCCTCATTCACCTCCTGCATTTCTCTCCGTTCACAGCAGACCTGACATTGTGGAGACTTGATTGCACAGTACTTCTAATTATTATTATTAATTTTTATCTCTGTAGTTTTTGTATTTATTATTTTAATTTTACCCTTTTGGATTACCTGGAACAACACCCCTCTCCAAACAACAAAAGGATTGGTTTAAATGGTTATACCAGCAGAGATCATAATGGGAAGGAAATAAATCAAAGCAGTGTGGATAAAATAGCTTCATCCTGCACTCTTTGCTGTCTGCAAAACGGTGAGTGTGCTGTCTTTTGGCTATAGGGGAGGAGGAAGGGCTAGCAGCCATCAGCTAATATCCAGCACTGAAAAGATTTGATTTATTTAAATCAGCCACTAGCAAGACAAGCACTTTGTGCATAATGGGCCCTTTTTAACCCTCCCTGCTTGCTGAGAGGCCTGGCATGTATTCCACAGCAGCTCCACCATAGCAGTACAATTGCATGGTAATGGGTGGCTGGGTATCTTCACTGGTTAGATTTTGTGTGTGCAGATGGATCATGCATGATATGCTTCTGTGTGTACAGTGAAGACAAACAGTTACACAGTATTGTTTGCTTTGTGCATGACCCTTGAACAGGTATTAAAGAAAAGAACAATGTCATGGTCTAGCTGTAAGCAGTGAGCATGGATATTTAAACACCCCCTCCTTGTATTCTAATATATATATTTTAATTTTATGCTTTTGGTTGATACATTTCAACTGTTACAAATTCTAGTATTGCACAATAAGGACTGAACACTGAGCTATTGCACAAAAGGGATTACTTCAATCTGTCCCTGGTGACTAGAAGTCTCATGACAGTTTCGATGTTCTTAATGCCTTTATGAACACTGGACCTAATAGAATTTTTTTTTTTATAGGTATTAGCCTAAAAAGCTCCATGATGAGGAGTGGTTATGCCTCTTAACCCTTTCATGTCTACGTTTAAGATGACAAGTGGGTACTCCTGGGTGACAGTCAATTCTGTCACCCACCCCTGCACCAATATACTGCCCCCAAAGGGCAGGGAGTGATTATGGCATGGTGGCAGGGCAGGTGCTAAATATGCTCATGGTAGGGCTGAATGGATGTGTTGCTGTCATAAAAATAATCTAGTATGGATTTATTTCCATTTTCTGTTTGTGGTTTTTACATGCTATTGTGTCAAATTTGGCTCTGCTTGCCATTTCTCTTATTTTTGATATTTTAATTTTACCAGCTTTGTCTTCATATCTATGTACTCTTATAATTCAATATTTTAATTAATTTTTTTCCCCCGATACTAAATTAATACTAGTATCTGTTGACCGCTGTGTTTACTATTCGGTTTTGCAATTGTGAGCAGTAATAAGACTTGCAGGTGACTAGCACTAAACCTGGAATTAGTAGGATGCTGGTTGATACATGTTTACTAACTGAAGTCTCTAAAGACCAATGTGTTATCAGCCAAATCTTTGTGATAGTGACACTCCTGACACGCCATCGGTACTGAAGAGGTTAATCTGTCATAGATAATTACTGAAGTATAAATCCAAATTAATTTACAATTTTAGACCAAAATAGCCAAATTGAACACTTGACAACTCAACTATGTTTCCTGGTACTATGCTGCTATTATGGCCTTAAATTTACTTTGAAATCCAGATAGTTCACACTTTTAGTTACAACCCCCCTCAGTACATAGTATGTGCATGTGTTTCAGTTCCAAAGTACAGTATTGCTTTGCAGTACATTACAGCATTCACATGACCTCTCCAGGAATCTGCTGAGGTGTATTGATCATGTAACATGTTTGGCCCATGTGATACCTGGAAAGAAATGATGCTGTATTTCCTGTATGAAATCATTATATTATAGAATGGGTTTTAATAATAATTCAATAAAACAAAACCTTTTATAACCTACTAAAAAATTTAAGCCATGTAGACATGTATGTCTTTGATGTGATATGCTTTGCTTTCAAGCTACTTGTGCAAAAATATGACTATTTGTTAGATTGGAGTGTTATAGGGTTCCAGAATGTTCCCAATTTGTGAAACTTGCTCTTCAAACAGATTATGGTGGGCTTCATGTACCAATCGTTCAAAATAATGCTGAAGGGTTTTGGGTTTGCACAGAAATGCAATGAGATACAAAATTCGTTTTGTTTTTTGTTTTTATTGTGGGGGGGAAATGTTGAATGTGAACCTAATCTCTCAAATTTGTGTTGGATTGCTACTCTCAGAAGTTTAGGCTACGCATACACTCGAATTTCCCAGAGAATTATGGGGCTATATTACTTCTACAGTTAGAAAGATATAGTGCATCACAATCTGTTGTCCCATAGGATGACTGTAGCTTTGTCTGACCAAATTCACAAGTTTTGTTGTATTATTCATTAAATATTTAAATTACTCTCTAATGTCTCTGCCATTGTAAACACAACATTATTTACATTTGTCCAAGAACATGTTTCTAGTTGTTGTCAGATGAGACATTTCCTCTTTAAGATCTTCGAAATTTAAAGGTTCTCATGTTCGCCATCATGATGCACAACATAATGTTGCCAAATCCAGCTGAAACTTCAACAATTGGATTCATTACTTACTTAATGAGAAACAGATTGGCTGAGTGTGGAAATTGCCGTGCATGCACTATAGATACCCAATACCTCTCTGTGAGAAGCATTGGATTATCGTTGATAGGATTATAGGTACATTTTTTTTTTTTTTATTGCTATTTAAAAAATAAAAATAAAAAAAAAATAAATATATATATATATATATTTATTTATAAAAAAAATTATTATTTTTTTTTATTCAGGGTCTTGAATAAAGATTATAAAAATAAAGCATCTCACATTAAAATGTAATACATTTATTCATGTGTTCCTTTTAACATGCAAACACAGGTACTGGCATCGAGGATTTACATTGTATTTTAAATTTGATTCAGTTTAATGCAAGTAACATTATTCATAGAACTATGAATTAATGATGCTTGCATAGGTTATAATGAGAGGAACCCCATTACTGTATTCCTTACATAAAATATAAGTACAAAGAGTTGTCATTAATGGTAAATTTTCAAGCTGGACAGAGGTGGCAAGTGGTGTCCCTCAGGGGTCTGTTCTGGGACCCCTTCTATTTAACATGTTTATAAATGATCTTGAAGACCGCATTGGAAGTCATGTTTCAGTGTTTGCAGATGACACACAACTCTGTAAAATAATACAATATGAGCAAGATATTACTTTGTTGCAGAGGGATTTAGATAGACTGGGGACTGGGCACTCAAATGGCAGATTAAATTTAATGTTGAAAAATGCAAAGTTATGCACTTTGGTGTAAAGAATACACAAGCAACGTATACCCTTAATGGAAGCGAATTAGGGATAACAACACACGAAAAGGACTTGGGAATTGTTATAGACAACAAACTATGCAACAATATGCAATGTCAATCCGCAGTGGCCAAGGCCAGTAAGTTTTTGTCATGCATGAAAAAGGGCATTCATTCTCGGGACGAGAATATAATTTTGCCTCTTTATAAATCACTGGTGAGACCACATTTTGAATATGCTGTGCAATTTTGGGCACCTGTTCTAAAGAAGGATATTATGGTACTAGAAAAAGTGCAGTGGCGGGCTACAAAATTAATAAAAGGAATGGAACATATCCGCTATGAAGAAAGGTTAACAAATTTAAACCTATTTTGTTTAGAAAAACGTCGCCTGAGAGGGGATATGATAACATTATACAAATATATTCGGGGCCAATACAAACCATTGTGTGGAAATCTACTCACAAACTGGACTTTACATAGGACACGAGGTCATGCGTTTAGACTGGAAGAAAGAAGATTTCGTCTAAGGCAAAGGAAATCTATATATATATATATATATATATATATATATATATATATATATATATATATATATATATATATATATATATTTTTTTTTTTTTTTTACTGTAAGTACAATAAGGATGTGGAATTCTCTGCCTGAAGAAGTGTTTTTATCAGAGTCCATACATATGTTCAAACAGCTACTAGATGCATACTTGCAAAAACAGAATCTTCAAGGATATAATCTTTCAATGTAGGGTAATAACTGCTTGATTCAAGGATAAATCTGACTGCCATTCTGGGGTCAAGAAGGAATTTTTTTTCCTGGCTTGTTGCAAAATTGGAAGTGCTTCAAACTGTGTTTTTGCCTTCTTTTGGATCAACAGCAAAAAACAAATGTGAGGAAGGCTGAACTTGATGGACGCAAGCTATGTAACTATGCATTCCATATACTGTAAGCCTACTTCCTGCTTTGGGTTGTCACTATAATGTTCTGTAAATTATTAGGCCACAAAAAACATTGCATATCAAGGGCAATAAATAACCTCTAATTGAAGGAATACAAGTCCCACTAGTAGATCTGTTCGGCAGTATGTGGTTGTTAGTTCCACTTAATATCCAAACACATGTGAACCGCACATTATATTAAAGGTACACTAAAGTCACCAAATAGCTAGTTTAATGAATCTGTTTTGGTTTTTTGATTATTCCCCTGCAGTTTGTTTATGTAGCCCCAGTCACACCACATTGCATATGACTTGCACAGCCTTCCTAAACACTTCCTGTAAAGTGAGATCTTGTGTTTGCACTTCTTTTTATTGCAAATTCTATTTAATTTAGAACTTCTTATCTCCTGTACTGTTAATAGCTTGGTAGACCCTACAGGAACCTCTTGTGTGTGACTAAAGTTCAATTTACAAAGCAGGAGATAAAGGATTTGAAGTAATTTACATCTGATTGAAAATGAAACCATTTTTTTTTTTTTTTTTCATGCAAGCTATTGTCCCTCACAACCAGGGGGAGGAGTGGCTAAAGCTGCATGGACAGAAACAAAAGTGATGTAACTCCTAATTGGCAGTTAATTGAGTAGTGAAACTTCAGTCATGATCTATATACAATAAAACGGCTTCATTAAGCTAAAGTTGTTCTGGTGCCTATAGTGTCCTTTTAAACAAATATTCTTCTGAAATCCTTAAAATCCATCTGCAGTAATATGTGGGGCAAAAAGATCACAAAATAGAATATGAAAATTAGATGGATTGGGGGGATACAGGATAAAGTGAGACATGCATCATATCTTAAACTGACTTTTATTCACTACTACCTACACCTTAGAATCGTATAAAGAGAATTGTCACACCTGTATGCTTAAAAAAAATAGTAATCATATGGCACTTATTTTATGCACTTTGTGACAGGAATGGCAGCTGTTTAAAGGGACACTATAGTCACCCAGACCACTTCAGCTCAATGAAGTGGTCTGGGTGCCAGGTCCCTCAGGTTTTAACCCTTCAGATGCAAACATAGCAGTTTCAGAGAAACTGCTTTGTTTACATTTGGGGTTAAGTCAGCCTCTCGTGGCTGTCTTCCGGATATTATGCCTCCATCACGCAGAGCATCCATAGGAAAGCATTGAGAAATGCTTTCCTATGGACACTTTTAATGCGCACGCACAGCACAGCTGCGCATGCGCATTCGGCTCCACTGACGTCAGACTGGGGAGCTGACGACGGGGGAGGAGAGGTCACCGGCGCTGGATAAGGGAAGCTGCTGAAGGGGTTTAGCCACGGGAGGGGGACCATGAGGGTGGGGGCACCCTCAGGGCACTATAGTGTCAGGAAAACCACTTTGTTTTCCTGACACTATAGTGATCCTTTAACCCCTTAAGGACCAAACTTCTGGAATAAAAGGGAATCATGACATGTCACACATGTCATGTGTCCTTAAGGGGTTAAGGTGCTCATAGAAAGCAGGTCTGGCCACAATTGGAAAGACCATGCTACTTCCTGCTGCCATAATCGAGCGATATCCCAAAGATAGAAAAGTGGAGGCTAATACAAGGATATGATTACTGACACAGGTGGCCACGTGATTGTGAATACTCCACCAGTTTACCATGCTTAGACTGGAAGTCTTGGCCCAACCTGTCCTGTATTGGCGTAAGACTGCTGCAGATTACTTGTTATTGGGAATACATTTGCTGTGATATCACAGCAATTGTATGCTGTAAACAGCTGAAGGCAGCAGCAATGCATTCTGGGATCAGCATCTTTGAGATGTTTTTGTCTGCCTCCATATTAGTCAATCAGTGATGTCCTTGGCCATGCAATTAGAGTAAAGGCTAGTCATATTGATTTGTGTATAAACAATGGTTTGCTAAATCCTTCTATTCTCTCTGTCTTCTATCTGATTGTCTAACAGAGAGAGAGAAGAGAGAGGTGTTACATTGTGTCTGGTTTGGTCAGGTGTCTGGACTTCTATATTTTAATAAAATGACTGTTCATCACTGCAGTAGTTGTGTTTTATTTTTTGTTTATTTTTTTGTGCTGTCATCTGGTTAGTTAATTGGGTGGTCGTTTTAGGGTTTAGTTGGTCACTATACTCATCAGTAAATTGTCCACTCGATAAAACTTGAAGTAGCCAATATGATATAGGCCAGGTTTTGCACTTTTACAAAAGGCACACAATTTTAAGGGTAAACTGTAGTTGTGACCTGATATTCTGCTTCAACGGTGACTTGGGCCTAATCTATCTAAATTGGATATTGGAAAGCTAAACCGAGCAGGTCTTGCGTTTGGCCTTGTAACTTCCCATCTACAGGGAGTGCAGAATTATTAGGCAAGTTGTATTTTTGAGGATTAATTTTATTATTGAACAACAACCATGTTCTCAATGAACCCAAAAAACTCATTAATATCAAAGCTGAATATTTTTGGAAGTAGTTTTTAGTTTGTTTTTAGTTTTAGCTATGTTAGGGGGATATCTGTGTGTGCAGGTGACTATTACTGTGCATAATTATTAGGCAACTTAACAAAAAACAAATATATACCCATTTCAATTATTTATTATTACCAGTGAAACCAATATAACATCTCAACATTCACAAATATACATTTCTGACATTCAAAAACAAAACAAAAACAAATCAGTGACCAATATAGCCACCTTTCTTTGCAAGGACACTCAAAAGCCTGCCATCCATGGATTCTGTCAGTGTTTTGATCTGTTCACCATCAACATTGCGTGCAGCAGCAACCACAGCCTCCCAGACACTGTTCAGAGAGGTGTACTGTTTTCCCTCCTTGTAAATCTCACATTTGATGATGGACCACAGGTTCTCAATGGGGTTCAGATCAGGTGAACAAGGAGGCCATGTCATTAGATTTTCTTCTTTTATACCCTTTCTTGCCAGCCACGCTGTGGAGTACTTGGACGCGTGTGATGGAGCATTGTCCTGCATGAAAATCATGTTTTTCTTGAAGGATGCAGACTTCTTCCTGTACCACTGCTTGAAGAAGGTGTCTTCCAGGAACTGGCAGTAGGACTGGGAGTTGAGCTTGACTCCATCCTCAACCCGAAAAGGCCCCACAAGCTCATCTTTGATGATACCAGCCCAAACCAGTACTCCACCTCCACCTTGCTGGCGTCTGAGTCGGACTGGAGCTCTCTGCCCTTTACCAATCCAGCCACGGGCCCATCCATCTGGCCCATCAAGACTCACTCTCATTTCATCAGTCCATAAAACCTTAGAAAAATCAGTCTTGAGATATTTCTTGGCCCAGTCTTGACGTTTCAGCTTGTGTGTCTTGTTCAGTGGTGGTCGTCTTTCAGCCTTTCTTACCTTGGCCATGTCTCTGAGTATTGCACACCTTGTGCTTTTGGGCACTCCAGTGATGTTGCAGCTCTGAAATATGGCCAAACTGGTGGCAAGTGGCATCGTGGCAGCTGCACGCTTGACTTTTCTCAGTTCATGGGCAGTTATTTTGCGCCTTGGTTTTTCCACACGCTTCTTGCGACCCTGTTGACTATTTTGAATGAAACGCTTGATTGTTCGATGATCACGCTTCAGAAGCTTTGCAATTTTAAGAGTGCTGCATCCCTCTGCAAGATATCTCACTATTTTTGACTTTTCTGAGCCTGTCAAGTCCTTCTTTTGACCCATTTTGCCAAAGGAAAGGAAGTTGCCTAATAATTATGCACACCTGATATAGGGTGTTGATGTCATTAGACCACACCCCTTCTCATTACAGAGATGCACATCACCTAATATGCTTAATTGGTAGTAGGCTTTCAAGCCTATACAGCTTGGAGTAAGACAACATGCATAAAGAGGATGTTGTGGTCAAAATACTCATTTGCCTAATAATTCTGCACTCCCTGTATCCTACCCAGTTATACGATGTGGGTAGTACTGTACTTGGAGGTAATATTTTTATTCTGCAGTAGTGAGCATTAGGATTGTAATATTACATTTTTTACAATGTCCTTAATGAATGTTCGTTTCTAAAAAAATAAAAAAGATACAAAACTAGAGAATTTGGCGGAGATTAGTAATGAAAAGGCAAAATTACAGGGAAAGTAGAGGGTACTTTCAAATGTATACTTTTTTTTTTTTTTGTGTAGCAATTTTGGATTAGGTGACTGCTATTGAAGCAAAGTGTTGCCCAATGTATTTTGGAATATTTTTGGTTGGCTTTGACCAGATATGTGTCAGAAATCCTATAATACAACTTGATCTAATTCCAGCCAAACTATTCCATTAAATCCACATGTTCTGTTTTTGAGGCATACTAAGGTGAACACTTTAAAATGGAACAGCCATGTTTATTAATCCCATGATTATTATTAAGTTGACTTATGCTCTGCATTGGACAAATATGTGTGTTGTGAGGTTTAAATATAAGAGTAGAACTCCTCACCTCTGATCACCTCCTTTTTGGTGCTGTCCTTTTTCTGTAATCGAATATAGTATGCAGTGGTGGAGAAAGTGGGAAATATTAATCACAGTGTCACAGTGTTCTGTTCTACAAAGGTGGTGAAAATATGTAAAAGGTGAGAAGACCCCAATGGAATATCCCTTCAGTTTCCATGTTGTATTGACACACTTTTAGTACTTTACACCACTTTTTAAAACAGGCCACTCTAATGGCCTCCTCAAATGCAATGCGTGCCCTGGCTCTGCTTGACTAAATCTGATTATGTCAATTGTTTGAAGGACCACTAAAATCACTCAGGCCACTCATTGAGATGGGTGCAGTGGTCTTGTCAATTTAATCAAGGTAAAACAATGCTATTTAAAAAAATTTAAATTAAAAAAAATTCTAATCAGAAACCGCAATTGTTACCTTAAAGAGCAAACACACCTCCAGTGGCTGTCAGTCACTGGCAACCACAGGAGGCTCCTCCTCTGCACTGACGAAGTACAACTCTGTCATTGTTTCTGGAATATATTGCCCATGATGCTCGTCTAGCTTTCAGAGTCTAAAAGCTAGCTCTGCATCTTGGGAAATGTAGTCCAGAAACAATTCAAGGTTAGCTATCACTGCCTATAGCCATAGGCGTGCACAGCCTATTGCATTAGGGTGTGCACCCTAAAGCACAAACACACGCCGTGTGTGTGTGTGTGTGTGTGTGTGTGTATGTGTGTGTGTGTGTGTGTGTATATATATATATATATTACTGCTGTGTATGAGGGTGCGGTTAGTGTGATGTGAGGGTGTTTGTGTGTGTGTTTGTGACTGTGCTGTTTGTGTGTGTGTGTTTGTCCTGTGAGGGTGCTGTTTGTGTGAGTGTCGTGTATTTGTGAGGGTGCTGTTTGTGTGTGTGTGTTTGTGAGGGTGCTGTTAGTGTGCTGTGTGTGAGGGTGTTGTGTTTTTTTTAAAGGTGCTGTGTGTGTTTGTGAGGGTGCGGTTAGTGTACCCTGTGTGTGTGAGCTGTATGTTTTGTAGGTGCTGTATTTTTGGAGGGATTGTGGAGGTGGGGGCAGATTAGTAAATCCTTGCTGCCATGTGCCATCCCTGGTGGTCCAGTGGAGAGTGAACTCTAGCCTGCGGGGCTAGAGTTAACTCTCGCGAGATCTGAGCGTAGCAACGCGGAGCTTCTGTCTAGAGCTCCCTGGGTCCTCTCCTGCCTCCCTCCATGCTGCTGTGGGCCGGTGAGGTAGATCTTTGGTCTCCCTGCCGGGCCATGGAGGCTTAAAGCAGAGCCGGCACTCAGATAGCGCCAGTTCTGCGTGAGCCGACAGGGGAGATCGGGATTCCCATTCCCCCCCAAAAAAATTATGTGTCTGTGTGTGTGTGTGTGTGTGTGTGTGTGTGTGTGTGTGTATATATATATATATATATATATATATATATATATATATATATATATATATATATATATATATATATATAATATATATATATATGCGGCGTACACTCACAGACACACACACACATACAAATTATTATATTTTAATAATACAATGTCCACCCAGCCTCCCTATCTGGAGTGCTGGCGTGGACTTTTCCCTGGGGTCCAGTGGGGAGGGCGCCTGTCTGCATCTCAGCCGCGGCGAGGGAGCTATCTGCTCCCTCTCGCCGCGCGGGCTGTCTGCTGTAGCTGGAATATGACGTCATATTCTGGCTCCCGGCATCAGCGCGCGGCGAGAGGAAGCAGAGATCAGATAGCTTCCTCGCCGCGGCTGAGATGCAGAGCGGGGGGTATCCATCACCTCTTGGGCCCCCCTCCCCCCCCCATGACAGGGGCAAGAGGTGAGACAGGTGGCACTGAGTGCCTGCAGGAACAGCGTTCCTGCTCAAAAAAAAGTGCAGGAACACAGTTCCTGCAGGACTCAAACCATAGGCGTGCCACAGGGATTAGGGTGTGCCCAGGAATGTGCTGATATACAGGTGGTCAAAAAACAGATGAACAGGTCAAGTTTCAAAATTATTTTCAGGCCATGGACTAATTTTAAATGATGCAATTACTTCCAAATTTAAATTTGCAATGTTATTCACTAAAGTATAAATTTTTCAGGAATTCCTAGTAAATATAAAATTTAAACTCCAAGTTGGCTAATCTTTCAGTATAGTTACTTTGGGTGTAAATATAAATTCCCTACAACTCTCACTTTAGTATATAACCCTGTTAGTCTATATCTAATATCCAGTGTGCACAACAATGCACGTCGCTGTCAAAAATCTTAAATTCTAAACTATATGCTTCAACTTGATTAATCGAGTTTGCAAAATGCTAGTTGCAGCATTTTCTCAGATACCTTTTACAATCTAGCAAAGATGAATTTAATGTTTTGCTGAGATAATTATTTTCAGTGCTTGTGGCTTTAGCCCTTGGGTTGACTTGAATGAACATTCAGAGGAGTGACTATGTTAAGAATGTTAAAATAGAGGGCACAGGATACCCATCTCAGTCACACGAAAAGACTACAGACCTGTATGAAACATTACAAAAGTTAAATACTTTTTGAATAGCATCTGTTTTTCTTGTCAAATGAACAACTAATAGGATTGTGAAAAGAATACAGGAATAACAAAAGCGGTATTGAAATTGCGGTATGGTCTACACAGTGGACTGAGTACAGGAAACTATTTATTTGTTACTGGTATTAATAAAGCGCCAGCAGATTCCGCAGCACTGTACAATTAGTGGAGGACACACAAATACAAAGGTAGAGAGGGCCCTGCCCATAAGCTGATATCTAGCCATTGAAGCTCTTTTATACAAAGTGCTTAGCTAAACTGCCCATGAGCATACAATCTAATGGATACAGTGTGGAGACAACAGGTAGCAGTGGAAATTTGGAAGGGATGGCTAAAAGAAGTTCAGAGATAGTCGCAGCTATTGGTAAAGTGTAAAGGGAATGAAGAGGTAATTGGGTGAGAATCTTAAACAGCTTGAGGGAGCATGCTATAAATTTAGGGGGGGGGGCGGAGCGAAGGGGAAGAGCAGCCATGTGTTGTATACAATTGAAAAGTTTAGCAACCAAATTCTATCACCCAAAATATTAATAACTGTGTACATGAAATGACAATAATACAAACTGCATGCACAGAAAATTACAGTGGCACATTACAGGTATAAATGGTAACAATTCTATAATAACACATGATAATATGGTAGTAATGCAAGAATAAATGAGGTGGAGTATCCTTCAAGCTTCAGTCAGTACCTGAGACATCATTGACATCATCAGAAGTGGTAGCCTGATCCGATCACAATGCTTCCCGATAGGATTGGCTTTGACTGACAAAGAGGCATATCAGGGGCAGAGCCAGAACACAGCCCTGGCCAATCAGCATCTACTCATAGAGATGAATTGAATCAATGAATCTCTCTATGAGGAAAGTTCAGTGTCTGCATGCAGAGGGAGGAGACACTGAATGTTTGGATGCATTTTAGGCAGCCATAACCCAGGAAGGATCTCTAACAGCCATCTAAGGAGTGGCCAGTGAAGTTATCACTAGGCTGTAATGTAAACACTTCATTTTCTCTGAAAAGACAGTGTTTACAGCAAAAAGCCTGAAGATAATGATTCTACTCACCAGAACTAATACAATAAGCTGTAGTTGTTCTGGTGACTATAGTGTTCCTTTAAGTAAAAAAAAAAGCAATGCTAGACCAAAGTTTCAAAAGTGCAACAATCATCAGTACTACTCCATTAGATTATATAGCAATTTCTTTGTGTTTAGACATTTTTTTTTTCTATTATTGCACTATTCTACATAACCATGTTAGTAAGTATAGCTATGCATATGTCAACTGATACAGCTTAACCCATCTAATAAAGTTACAATTTTAGACTATAATGTACAAGTGAAGATTCATGTGATTGCCATGTTTACATATATTGTTAGTTGTGGGCATAGCAACATAGACAATATAGACAAATAATTCTTAGACCAACACAACCTACCCATTGAGAGCTTTATACAGATGGCTGAGTTGTTATGGCACCATGGCTAGTTAATTGAGATTGAGTGGCCTGGGAGTCTATAGTGTTCCTTTAAGAAAAATTACCAAAGAGCTGCAACCTATCCTCCACAGAGACCATATACTGCAAGCAGTGTTTCCAAAACCACCAATCCTCTCACACAGGTAATCTCTAAACAAATTATTATTTTTAAAATTAAGACATCTGACAGAGCCCAGCAACACAAGCATGTTCTTTTATGCGCAGAAAATGTTCAAGACCTGATAACTAGTGATGTCCCGAATGGTTCGCCACAAACGGTTCGCCGCGGACCATTGAGTAAACTTTGACCCTGTACCTCACAGTCAGCAGACACATTCCAGCCAATCAGCAGCAGACCCTCCCACCTCCTGGACAGCATCCATTGTGAAGCTGCATTCTTAGTGAGCTGTTCAGGAGGTGGGAGGGTCTGGGAGGGGGGGTCTGCTACTGATTGGCTGGAATGTGTCTGCTGATTGTGAGGTACAGGGTCAAAGTTTACTCAATGATGAGTCCGCGGCGAACCGTTCAACGACCCGTTCGGGACATCACTACTGATAACACATTCTCATTTAAATAATTCAACCACCCAACAAACAGAAGGAATCAAGAATTCGAGGGTCCTTCACCTTCGCCTCAACAAACATAGCGTACATCATAATGTGCACCAACTGCAAAAATGTTGAATATACAGTGCAAAAGAATGAACCTGTATCACTATACAATTATTATTTATTCTTATTTATATAGCACAATCAGATTCCGTAGCGCTGTACAATGGGTGGACTAACAGACACGTAATTGTAACCAGACAACTGGACGTACAGCAACGGAGGGGTGGAGGGCCCTGCTCAATGAGCTTACATTCTAGAGGACAACCAAGACAATTACACTTTTGTGGGCAAACATTTCATCAGCCCAGGCCACAGCCTTTAAGAAATGAAATTGTCCATACTAAAGGGCAACTTTAAATCACTGACTGAAAGAAGTCTGAGAAGTCACGTTTATAAACGTATTTTTATGTTCATGGGTGCCTATACTAACATATATATTGAGCTCTCTATAACTGACACAGAGGCCAAATGGGGGTCATGCATATCCCCACAGAGCTGTCGCCTATATCAATTGCCCTCCATATATAAAAGATAAAGAGATTCTGACACTGACCAAAACATAACTTCACACATAGTTTGGAATCATTACAGGTATATTGATCATTTTCCCTCATAAACTGTTTCAACCTATTGTCAATCGTGTGTTTTTATAATTTTATTTTTTATATTTCCTCTATACCAGTGTTTCCCAAACCAGTCCTCAAGACCCACCAACAGTCCAGATTTGGTCATAACTCCATTGGAATAAAACCAGAAAATACATTGCTTCCATTGAGCTACGGAATTTGATGACGCTATATAAATAATTATCCTGGATTGCTGGTAGGCCATGAGGACTTGTTTGGGAACCACTGCATTATGCTGTGTATAAAGCCACATTCAACAGACAAGTCCTGAAAGCTTGCACATTATTGTCCATTCAGCACATTAGTGTCCTGAAAGCTTGCAAATTATCCTTATATCGTTCTCCAATAAAGCACCAATACAATGTTTATACTGGTCCTGTATATATTTGTATAGCCCTGTCCTGTCCACTCTTTTTATACTTTTTTTTTTTTCTTAAACAAATTATATATACATTTTTTTTTTTTTTTTTCAGATTTAAATTCTTCAATTCCCTTTCTTAAAGTGGATGTCACCAAACTGATAGTACTGCTTGCATCTGTGCCCCCGATGCCCCCCTAACCATTTTCATATCCCAGGAACCAGCTTTATCTACTGGTTTTCTTTCTAGGTGCTGCCATCTTTAGGTTTCTAAAATGGCAGTGCTCATAAATGGTATTGTATGCGCATAATGAATTGAACATTTGTCTATCTATCTTACTATATATGTATATTTTCAAAGAGACCATAAAAAATAAATTTGTAATTATTTATATTCTCTTTCAAATTAAGCATATTTTTCAAAATACAGACTAAAGGCCAACGGGAGACGGGCAGACAGATCTGTTTTAGTTCTTTGCGTTCCGTATTTAAGACTTGGTACGTACATTTGAAACACATACTCGAGGTCTTATTGTTTCATATAGAGGCAAAGTGTTCATCATGTGAATTAATATCTATTTTTATGCATGACTATACCTTCCTGACATTTGCAGCTGCTGACTTGCATTACACATGTACATTGCCTAATATAATTATTACTGCTAATAAAGACAAGACTGCAGAAACCATGTGAGGTCAGCAGCCAATCAAATTCAGCGACATGCAGAACAGGTCCCACATCACTGTGCAGAAAATGAAAAATGACTCTTTGAATTCCTGGATGATGCTATGTGGTCATGACTCGTTTTACATATTTTACATGTTTAAAAAAAAAAAAAAATGTTGAATAGATTTTCTAAATAATCAACACAGCGTAAGCATATCTTTTAGGTGATATATGATGATGCATAGATTAATATTTTTTTGACAAGATGAAAATATTACAGTTCCTTTTTAATTTTTAAGTTGTCCATTTTGTGATGGTTTAGCATAGGACTTAATTTGTACATGGGGGTACGTTTGATTCACCTGTTGGCCAACATACCTCAGGGTCTGAGCAGGACAGATTGCAGAGAGCTTTGATAGGCAGATAGCTAGGAGAAGAAATGAGTTCACACGGACACCATGTCTGTAAAAGTCAGGGTTCTTATAGACCTTTCATTCAATGGATTCCAATGAGAGGTATGAAACTAAACAATTTCATTGTTAGTATATTATCTGCCTTTTCCTTGATCAGTATTTTATCTGCTAGTTCTAAATTGTCATTTTTATGTATAAACGGCTGGTGCTTTTAAAGTTTACTTTGACAGCAGTAAGCAGGCTTGTAAGGCGTGTATGTACTCCGATTAATCAATCACTTTGTCAGTTTTGTAAGTTAGCTAACATGAGCTTAATAAGCTTAACAAAGTTTTAAAGACTGTTATTTGTAGACTACAAATAACCGTTTTTAAAACTTTGTTACACTTATTAAGCTCATGTTAAAAAAAAAAAAAAAAATCATCCCCTTAAATCAGGGCTTGACAAATTTGCTAGGAATCTAGGAGCCAGCTAAAAAAGTTAGGAGCTATTTATTTATTTATTTAAAACTAACAAAGCTTTTATTTTCAACAAAAAAATACAATTCTTAAAGAGACACTATAGTCACCAGAATCACTAAAGCTTAATGTAGTTGTTCTCGGGTCTATAGCCTGGCCCTGCAAGCTTTTCAGTGTAAACCCTGCCTTTTTAGAGAAATTTACATTGCTGACTAGCAACACCTCTAGTGACAGTCACTCAGACGACGACTAGAGATGCTTCCTGGGTCAGTGTTGCACAGTGTGTAGTACCTACGTTCAGTGTCTCCATGCTCAACATGAAGGCGCTGAATTTCTCAATAGAGATACATTGATTCAATGAGTCTCCTATGAGGAGATACTGATTGCCGCAACGCTGTTTTGTCTCGCATGCACAATAGTCTCTGAAAGCATTGGATTGGTTGAGTTAATCAAGATTGATTATCTCTGCAGCAAGAGTGGCATGGTGTGGGGAAAAACACCTTTTGCCATACGATCGGAGGTAGCCGTTCACCTAAAGAGACACTCATTTGCTGACACATTTTCTCATACATTCACAAATTATTTTTAATTAAAATTTTAGTCCACTTTGCCTCCCTACCTTTGGGAGAGTTGGAGTGGGTCCTTTCCCTAGGGTCTAGCGTGGCTGCTGTAGCTCTTCTTGCTCTGCTCCTTGGCACACTGTTTAGTGATGACTGGGCTGGACTGACGTCATATCCGGTTCCTGGTATCACAGCAGGGCATGCAAGGGAACAGAGCATGAAGAGCAGAAAGATCACAGCTCCCCCACCACCCGCCTCCATTCTCCTTCAGTTGGCTGGCTGCCTCCACTCCAGCCGCTGAATGGGTCCACAAACACCTTGGCGCCTAAGATTTGTCAACCCTGACTTAATTTACTATTGACCGGTATTCTTTTCTAGAAATTCGCTTCTACATTTAAAGCTATTTGGTTTTAGGCTCTTGTGCATCCTTCCTTATTTTCCAGATCTTTTTGCCCTTTTGTATTTAAAGTGAAACTCTTTCAAACTCGTGCTTGTAATGTTTTCTTTATTTTTTTCCTTTACATTTTATAGTTCACTTTTTTTAACTTTTTCTTTTAATTTTATTTATTAATTTTATAAACCTGAATGCCTTTTTTCCTTGCAAACAGTAATTTTAGAGTTCTATTGGGAACACAACATTGTCAGTATTGAGAACCTTTTGCTTTTTTTAATTTACAATGGAAAATGTATTTTGGAAATTGCAGGTTGTGGTTGGCCTGTCACCACCTACTCTCTGTAGAAACATTTTTTTTCAGTGACCATGAGTTTTAAAAATTGTAATGTGATTTCGATGATTGCTGCACTCTCAAAGAAAAACTAAACTATAGTAATCACAAGTAAAATTACTGTGCCTTGTTTAGAGAAAATAATATTTTTGTTTGGTTTACTGTTTTCAAATATGCATGGTAGGCATGCATAGTAAAAAGATCCTGCTAGCCGTATTAAGAAAGGAAAGGTAAGCAATCTCCACAACCAAAGATATAACCAAGGACAATTTCACATCGTATACAAGTATGCCTTTATTGGCATGAAATCAAGTAGTTGTTTTTTTTTTTGTTTTGTTTTTTAGTATGTGCACAATGGATTATTAAGTTAAATATTAACATTGTGATCTCGAAGGAATACTCCAAGCACCGTAACCACTACAACTTACTCTACCCAAGTGTACCCTAGGTAAGAAATCAGACCGTTCCAAATAAACGACACAAAATATGTTAATAGCATGTCTGGTAAACATAGAAACATAGAATGAGACGGCAGATAAGAACCAATCGGCCCATCTAGTCTGCCCAATTTTCTAAATACTTTCATTAGTCCCTGGCCTTATCTTATAATTAGGATAGCCTTATGCCTATCCCACGCATGCTAAACTCCTTTACTGTGTTAACATCTACCACTTCAGCTGGAAGGCTATTCCATGCATCCACTACCCTCTCAGTAAAGTAATACTTCCTGATATTATTTTTAAACCTTTGTCCCTCTAATTTAAGACTGTCCTCCTTGTTGTGGTAGTTTTTCTTCTTGTAAATATAGTCTCCTCCTTTACTGTGTAGATAGTCATTTCAAGTTGCATAAGCAGGAATGTCCCTTTAACATCATCCTAAGTAAAAGATCTGATATTCAGCAATGCTTATTACTTGGCATTTGAAAATAGTCTTTTTAAAAGGCATTGGTGATACAGTTTTTCCAAATGATCTACTTAACCATTACTTATCTTTTTGTATTTTACAACATTATTAGTGTGGTTACAATTTTTGCTCCAGTAGGCTAAATTTGTTCCCCTTGAAACTGAGTCACCGTGGAAGAAAAAAGGTTTTAAAAAAACAAACAAAAAAAACTTTTTCTTAAAGGATTTTAAAAAAAACCCAACTTTTTCTTCCCCCAAAATACAGCATATACTTTTTTCCTCTGTCTAATATCCCGTTTTGCAGGTTTTAATGTATATACAACATAATAGCAGTTAGTGACGTTATATTTTCATTTTGTTTTCTATACAGTACATGCAACATTTAATATAATCTAGAAGCAGAAGAGAAAAAAAATAAAATGTACTGAGAATCTAGTTTATGTTGTGTTCAATTTTGCAGATATTTTTCTACTGTAAAATAAGTATTTTACAGTAAACTGGATGTCTGTAGAATGGAGGTGACTTGCAACTAAAATGAGTCCTGCAAAGTAATTTTGAATATCTGGTCACTGGAAACCCCTACTGTATATTCGTGTAGGTAAAGTCTGAATATTTCCTATTAAAGACTAAAAAAAAAAAAAAAGTGGGGTGGAGCGGGCGGTCTCATGTAATCAGTCACACAAAACACTCCTAATCCCTGAAGATTTTGTGTATTTTACTATTAATTTTGCATTTTTTATATCAAAATGCATGTTACCAATAAAATATGTATAGATTGTTTCTGGTTTTGTTCAAATGCAATGGACATTATGACTTTTTTATATTTTTGTGTGCACATTTAAACATACATTCTAAGCACCATGAATTCCCATGATTGTTGCCATGTTTATGGTTCAGGTTGATCCACTTTCCTGACTCACTAAACTGGTTTTATAGTTGCTTCTAACTGCGGTGATTTTCAGAAATCGCTGCATCCATTAGCCTACACCTTCATCAAGAGTTGTCACTTCTACATGCGCTCATTATATAGTATTCCATAAAAGTCTCCACTTGTTATAATACTCATCACTGCTTACTGTGAAGACATCTGAACTGATGTGCATGCTTGCATCTGTTTGCATTACTTAAACCTGCTTTCAGCAAGGTGATTGAAGCCGTAGTGTGGTTGCTCTTAGGCAGCAGTTCCCTTCATCTCATTCATATATATTTGATGAATGGAACTGGTGACGAGTGCATATTCTCTATACTTCTGGTGTGGTAAAGTGCTAAACTAAATGTCCTATACACCTGTGCTGTGAAGAGTTATATGGAATAAACTAACAGAGAGGGATCATCACGATTGGCCCTGCAGAAACTTGTGATTTTAATTTAGTGTAATACTCTAAGCACCTTAACCACTATAGACCGTTGGCACTGCCCCATGGTCAGTAGTAAACTTATTTTGCGAACAGTATGACTCTCTTACCTGTGCTTCTCTGACACCCACAGTTCTTTCTGTTTCTTTGATATCAATTTTCTACATCATTCATTGGATGAGAGTGTTCATTACAGTTTTAGAAGAGTATTCCCCATAAAGCTTTATGGCTTTAGTAAAGTTTAGTTTTCAAGCCATGTAACCCTAAAGAAACCCATCCATGTTAGAGATTTTCATGTCAACTTCTTTCCATGTTTTACTTATTTTGGCTCTAGAGTTTGGCTCCTGGGGAGCTATTTTATAGTGAAATGCATAGAAACCCGGGCTGATTCTGCTTTTGTTTTGGTTTTAAGACCGATGTTGAAATCACTTTTTGTATTGTCGCTTTATTTAGAGAGTTTTGACTTTTTCCTTGTATGCAGAGATGAACTTATTTCATTTTATCAAGGAAAACGGAAAAGGGGGGATATTGAAGAGGAAACCTCAATGATGACTAAGTTTATGTTTGGTCTTGTGGACATAATCAGCCTGCAGTTCTGGTGTTGCAGAAAGAGTCTTGTTCAATATGAATCCTGTGTAATGTTTTGTACATTTGGAAACTGAACCATTTCAAAGATGTGAAAGTTCAGAATGATCTTAACATGTTCACTCAGCCTTCTGGTTGTGGTTTATAACTTCTTTATAATCTATTATTTCTTTGAAGTTGCAGACAAGCAACCCTTTGAAAAGAGTGTCCTTAGAACCATCATACGTTCTGAAATATGAACAAGGCCTGTACAAGAAGAAAAAGAATTTCTGCCTGAAAAAATATTGAATGAGTTGGTGTTACTCAACTTGTTTTTGGCTAGAAGAACCCTTTTTATCCTGCCTCCCACTAAATAAATTAACTTCCTTTGGAAAGAGTTCAGAGAAGGGCTACTAAACTGGTTCATGGATTGCAGGATAAAACTTACCAGGAAAGGTTAAAGTATCTTAACATGTATAGCTTGGAGGAAAGACGAGACAGGGGGATATCATAGAAATATTTGAAAACCATAAGGGATTCAACACAGTAAAGGAGGAGACTATATTATATACTACCACAACAAGAGGACATGGTCTTAAATTAGAGGTGCAAAGGTTTAAAAATAATTTCAGGCAGTATTACTTTACTGAGAGGGTAGTGGATGCATGGAATAGCCTTCCAGCTGAGGTGGCAGCAGTGGTGGATCCAGGGGGGCAACGGTCGAAACGTTGATTGGTATGTTCACTATTTGAATACAAAGAATTTGCGTTAAATCCAGTGAGTGCTCTCATTTTTCCATTTTTTTTCTATATATATACATGTGGTTACACATAGGCTTGCGAATACCACAAGAGAAGTAGCAAGCGATTCATGTTACAGGTTAGATATAGTTTTGACATGGTTTATGAAGTAACTGCACAATTTTTAAAAGTAAAATCAAGCTGAATAATAAACAGAATGGTCAATATTTCAATATGGAGTCACGTAACAGCGGTCTGGTTAATCTAACTGGCTGTATTATAAGGCATATTTAATGACAGGTTATATTCCATATAAGCTAGCTATGCCACAACAGCTGTTGCTAGTGTTTCGATAGTAGTGTAAATTATAAAGACAATTGTTTGGCATGAATAACTGTGCACATTTTAAATCAATGAAGAGTAAACATAAGAAGACAGTAGGAGCACCATTCTGTGAGATTGAACGAGGAGAGAGTAAGAGGAGGTGTAGGATAGAGCTATATGAGATAACAAGAAGAATATTCCACTGGGTAAATTTTTGTAGCCATGTAGTCAAAGCATAGAAAAACTTAAATATCAGGGCTGCAGCTAATGTGGTGCTTATGCAAACAGTGAGAGAACTGCTAGACTACTGGAAAGTCTTGTGGACCCCTCAGCCGACACCAAGAGTCCCATCTGTCCCCTTTGTCAGCTATTCCCAGGAGGCTCCTCCATCCGCTCCAGACAGCCAACCAGTCCTGTGGTATGTGTCTTACTGTGATAGCTGGGGATCAATGCTTTGGCACCTCCGCTTCTCTGGTCATGTTGCTTGGTGTATATGCATCCCTATGAGGCTGGTTGTGCTGCGGGTGAAGGGGTTCGCTTTGCCATAGGTAATGTGAGTTGCGGTAGGCAGGAAGGTCAGAGCGGCTGGTGATGGTTGGTCACCGCGATGGTTTCACGCACCTCCTCCAAGACCCCTTGGGGAGATGTGGGGAGCGTGGAGGCTTGCGACTTCTGCGCACGGGATGGCTCAGGGGGGCTGAGTTTTTGAAACGGTTACGGTTTTGAAACACTAATATTTGTGTTAAAGTCTTCCGAGTATAACAGTACCCCCATGTACAGGTTTTATAGCGATTTTTGAAAGTTACAGGGTCAAATATAAGGGTCATATATTTTTACATTGAAAATTGCCCAGGAATGAGAATTACCCCCATGATGGCGTACCATTTGCAAAAGAAGACAACCCAATGTATTGCAAATGGGGTATGTCCAGTCTTTTTTAGTAGCCACTTCGTCACGATCACTGGCCATATTTAGCATTCAATTTAGTATTTTACTTTTTCACACACAAACAAATATGAACGCTAACTTTGGCCAGTGTTTGTGACTAAGTGGCTACTAAAAAGGACTGGACATGCCCCATATTGAATACCCTGGGTTGTCTACTTTAAAAATATATGTACATGTGGGGTGTGATTCAGAGATTTACAACAGATAATAGTGTTACAATGTCACTATTGATACATTTTTAAAATATATATTTTGAAACCGCAATTTACTATTTGTACTTATAGCCCTATAACTTGCAATAAAAAGCATGTAAACACTGGGTGTTTTTAAACTCTGGACAAAATTTTGAATTTATTTAGCAGTTTTTTTTTTTTCATTAGCTTTCGTAGGTAAGTAAAAGATTTTTCAAGCAAAATTCAAAAAACATGTTTTGGTTTTTTTTTTCAACTTTTCACCATATTTTATTTTAGTTTTTTTTAAAGTAAATTATGACATGATACAAATAATGGTATGCAAAGAAAGCCATTTTTGTCCTGAAAGAAACCATATATAACTTGTATGGGAACAGTAAATGAGAGAGAGGAAAATTACAGCTAAACGCCACAAAAGTGTTAAAAGAGCCCTGGTCCTTAACGTACAACATCGCAAAAACAAGCCGGTCCTGAAGGGGTTAAAACCTTGCTAACTAGAAAAACCTTTCACAAGTGTCAGAAATGGCATCTCTTGCTAATGATTATCACCACCTCATTTTGCCCTGCACTAATTTCCTAGTTCATGCTGGGCAATGTCAAGTAAAAGGCTTCTCAAAGTCAATATTTGCAAATGAGTTGCACATGGGAGACTTTTATCAATTTAGTGTGTCTTATAGAGATTTCTGAAACCGATCAGGAGAAAATGCCTTCAAAACTAAAATTCTAAAGATATCTCTTCTCGTTTGGCATGCTTTATATGCTGGTGTCAAACTACAGACAGAATGTATATGTCTTGGAGGGAAAATCTATTGTTCCTGCCAACTGAAGAATTGGGGGGTGGGGGGGAGAGAGAGAGGGAGGCACTATGGGAAAAGGTAAAAAAAAATGATCTCCATATGTAAAATCAGGGTGAGATTTATCAAGTTAATACAGGTTCTATTCTGGGGCAACTAAATGTTGAGAGAGATTCCCTCAAAATAGCAGCTCTTTTCATCTTGATAAAGCTCAGCATTTATAGCCAAAACACTGCAGGAACTGGACATTTACACCATAACCAGTTTAATAAGCTGAAGTGGTTTAATACTTGACCCTGAAAGAGGAACTGATACTTTTCAGAATGATTGTTATTATTAGGATTACTCAACCCTATATTTAAGAAATATGTATTTTTGAGATGTGAAAAATAAAAGGACTTTGAAAACATGCCAATAGTAAATATGGTATATTTTTGTTGTTAGGGTATTTTTGAGTCTTTTATTTAGATTAGGTTTTACAGATAGAAGTATACTTGCGATTTTAGAGTTGTAACAGTGGTCTCATCAGTTGTAAAATGACATACAAATCTTTAAAGGGACACTATAGTCACCAAAACAACTTTAGCTTAATGAAACAGTTTTAGTGTATAGATCATGCCCCTGCAGTCTGTGTACATTTCTCTGCCATTTAGGAGTTAAATCACTTTGTTTATGAACCCTAGTCACACCTCCCTGCATGTGACTTGTACAGCCTTCCTAAACACTTCCTGTAAAGAGCCATCTAATGTTTATCCTTCCTTTATTGCAAGTTCTGTTTAATTTAGATTTTCTTATCCCCTGCTATGTTAATGGCTTGTTAAACCCTGCAAGAGCCTCCTGTATGTGATTAAAGTTCATATTACAGAGCAAGTGGCAAGTGCTTAATAAACAGAAACAAAGTGATTTAACTCCTAAATGGCAGTGGATTGCGCAGTGAAACCTGAGAGGCATGATCTGCATACCAAAACTGCTTCATTAAGCTAAAGTTGTTTAGGTGACTATAGTGTTCCTTTAAATATGTATTTAGCTGCATCACTGGCTGACATGGTATAAACCCACATAGAATTTACATTTTTATGCTTCCATTTCTCTATTTACAAGGTGATGTTTCTCTGTTTATGGCACAAAAAAGTTACCTTAACCGGGCACATTAATTAATAATGGAAATTCTACATCTGTATGTGTTTAAATTATCTTGTTAAGCCGTACTGTAACTGTGCAAGATGAGCTGAATGATTTCCATACTGGTGATTTAGAGCAAGTCCTGCTTATCTCTGTTCTAGGTGTTTACCCTATGCTAGACCTTCCGTCCTGGACAGCTGGGAAGCTGATGGTGTCACACACTAATTTTAGCACAAGAAGTTATCTTATCACTTTACCTATTGTTGATTTCAATTACATATTTAACCACTTAAGTACTAATCATATTAATTTTTCAGAAGCACAGTGTAGTCTAAGTTCTGATGCTGGCATAGAACAGATACATACAACAGTGATGTCCGTTAAAGAATGGTTCATTTTAGTGGTGTAATTCAACAACCTCTGGGAATCTTCATTTGACTACCTCTGCTTTAAGGTGTGAAATATTATAAGCCAGGGCTTGACAAATTTGCTTTGAATCTAGGAGCCAGCAAAATAAGTTAGGCCAGGTTTTTCATTATCAAAAATACAATTCTTAAACCGACAGTGGCGTACACATGACCCATGGGGCCCCGGTGCGAAAATTGATCCGTGGCCCAGCGGGCCAGGCCGCAACACATGGCGGTGGGCACCTGGTCGCAGGGGTTACAGGGCTGCGACCCCTGCGACCGCGGTATGTACGCCAGTGCATGCATGCACACACACTTAAAGGACCACTCTAGGCACCCAGACCACTTCAGCTTAATGAAGTGGTCTGGGTGCCAGGTCCAGCTAGGGTTAACCCATTTTTTCATAAACATAGCAGTTTCAGAGAAACTGCTGTGTTTATGAATGGGTTAAGCCTTCCCCTATTTCCTCTAGTGGCTAGTGTCCCATTGACAGCCGCTAGAGGCGCTTGTGTGATTTTCACAGTGAGAGCACGCCAGCGTCCATAGGAAAGCATTATGAATGCTTTCCTATGTGACCGGCTGAATGCGCGCGCAGCTCTTGCTGCGCGTGCGCATACAGCCGACGGGGAGGAGAAGAGGAGGATCGGAGGAGGAGAAAAGGTAAGTTTTACCCCTTTCCAGAGCCGGGCGGGAGGGGGTCCCTGAGGGTGGACCCCCTCCCGCTGCTATGTTTCACTGAGGGTTAATCCAGCCTCTAGTGGCTGTCTCACTGACAGCCGCTAGAGGAGCACACTGAACCTCCATAGGAAAGCATTGAGTAATGCTTTCTTATGGGCGGTTTGAATGCGTGCGCGGTCGCATTCGGAGCTGAGAGGCTGAGGGATCCTCAGTGCCAAGGGAGTCCGGCGCTGGAGAAAGGTAAGTGCTGAAGACACACACACTTACAGACGCATACACACTAGCTAACAGACACACACATTTACTGACAGAGACACAGTCAGCGACAGACATACATACATACACACTCACAAAACATACACTCTCATTGACACACACACACTCAGTAAGACACACACACTCACTGACACTCACTAGCAGACACACACACACACTAACACTCACTCTAACACTCACACACACACTAACACTCACTCTAACACACACTCACTCTAACACACACACACACACACACTAACACTCACACACACACAAACACTCACACACACTAACACTCACACATGATTTTATTTTATTTTTTAAATGTAATCCCCCCAGCCTCCTTACCTTTTGGAGTGCTGGGGGGGATTCCCTGGGGTCCAGTGGTGCTGCTGGGCTCGCGGGTGGCCGGTCGGGCAGGCAGGCAGGCGGGCGCGCGAGGGAGCACTCAGTGCTTCCTCTTCAGCTCCCTCGCGCGCCGCGCAGGGATGCCGGCGCCGGAAGATGACGTAATCTTCCGGCTCCGTTATCAGTGCGGTGCGCGAGGGAGCTGAAGAGGAAGCACTGAGTGCTCCCTCGCGCGCCCGCCTGCCTGCCCGACCGGCCACCCGCCCAGGAGTGTGTGTGTGTGTGACAGCAGGGCCAGCCTCGGGGGGCCCTGGGGTGGTCGGCTCCTGGGCCCCCCAGGGGAAGAGGCTGGCCCTGGGCGTACATACCGGGTCGCAGGGGCGGCCGGGCCCCTTGGTGGGCCGGGCCCGGTCTCAGCCGCGACCCCTGCGACCCTGGTATGTACGCCACTGTAAACCGACACTATAGTCACCAGAAACACTACAGCTTAATGTAGTTCTTTTCGTGTCTATAACCTGTCCCTCCACACTTTTTAATGTAAACACTGCCTTTTCAGAGAAAAGGCAGTATTTAGATCAGGGGTTCTCAACCCAGTCCTCAGGACCCCCTACCAGTCCAGGATTTGGGGATTACCTGGGTGTGTCTAAGGTGTTTAGAAAAAGACTCTAAGGTGTTTTTTTTTTTTTTTTCTAAACACCTTAGACACACCCAGGTAATCCCTAAACCCTGGACTGGTATGGGGTCCTTGAGGGCAAGGTTGAGAACCGCTGATTTAGATTGTTGCCTAGTAACACTTCTAGTATAAGTCACTCAGACGACCTGTAGAGTGCGTCCTAGGTCAGTGCTGCACAGTATACAGCACCTACGTTAAGCATCTCCACGTTATGCATGGAGGCGCTGAATGTTCCCCGTAGAGAGGCATTCATGCAATTAATTTCTGAGGAGATGCTGATTGGCGCAGCTTGGCATTTTGCCACACATGCGCAATAGCCTCCCAATGCTTTTCTATGGAAAAGCATTGGATTGGATGAGATCAAGATTGATCACAGTAATGGAGACCGGGCTGGTTGCGGCCAGACCAGCACAGCGTGGGGGGAAAAAGGTGAGTAAAAACCCCTTACACGTGTGATTGAAGGGGGACCAGTCACCTAAACACACATTCACTCACTGACACACTCACTCATTGACACACACACTCACTGAAACACACACACTCACATTCACTGTCCCTGCAATAACAACACACATTAAGGGGACCACCCAGCCTTCCTACCTGGAGCTGGAGTAGTTTGGCCATCCCTGGGGTCCAGTGGGGCTTCAGTCATCTACCTGCTCTGCTCCATAGAGCACTGTTTAGTGGTACTGGGGCCGGAATTATATCATTTTCTGGCTCCCGGCATCACTGGAGGATGTGCGAGGGAGCAGAGCAGGGAGGGAGGGAGGTTACAGCTCCCTCGCACGCTTGCCCGTCTGTCTTAATCCTACAGGAGCCCTGTGCAAACACCCCATGCTCTCTATCAGATGGCTGGACCGCAAATGCTCTCCTTTTTGCCGTCCAGCTTTATGAGCCTGCCGGCCGCCTCCACTCATAGGCGGCTGACCACCTCTGGCTGAATGGGCCAACAAATGGGATTTGTCGAGCTCTGCTATAAGCAGTATTGGCGGGGGGCGCTGCACTTATGTTGTTTAAAGTGACCATTTAAATATGTTGTAATATTTGATGTGCTCTGAATGAGCTATATGAGGGCATTTGAAAAATGTCTGTAATCAAAGAAGCGTTGTCATGTATAGGAAAATAATTATATTTTCTGATCAGGCAGCACAAGTCACTAGACAAAAAAAAAAGTGCAGTTTGACTTGTGCTTTGACTGTTCCTCCTATGTGATCTGTGTCTTCTGTTTAATTATTTTTACAAGGAAAGAACATATTTGATATCACAAAAATCCTAAAACAAGTCTGTGGTACAAAGCTTGGCAAATATTGCAGTTCCTATGTTTAAATTAAAATAACTCCTATTCAGGAGATATTAGGGTTATGTATAAAGTGTCTTTAAAAAAAGTCCCTTTTTTGGAGCTATTCTCCTTTGCACCTTTTTATTCCTTCTTTTTGTGCCAAAATATTTCTTACTGAGCCTCTAGCGACGTATTATTTTCCTGTTCCATTTTGGCACTTTTTCGGTTCGATCTGTCACTCCCAATATATGAGCCGTGCAAGAATGCGACTTTGTTAGAGTAGAAGATTTTATTTTTTTTTTGTTCCGAAGTAAGCAGCTTTCACTGTCTGTTTATATGTTAAAGGGGCACTCCTCTGCCCAAATAAAAAGAAAACTAAAATATTTAGTAGATATTACCCATTGAAAACATGCATGCATTTAATTTTTTACATTTTTTTTATTTTTATTTTCACTGGGGTATATTTCAATTAGCTTGTAAAAGCTGCAGGTCTTGTGTCTGAAGCCTTTGCAAGCCCCGCCCTTCATCCTGACCAACCTTATTGCTAACGGCCTTCTTATTGGTCTGTAGGATCCACTCGCTACATCCCCTATAACACTATGCCCCCTATCAACACACTCTCTACAGCCCCTAGCCACACATATTACACCACAAACACAAATTAAATTGACCTATTTACAGAATATCACACCACACTTTACACACACGCAATCCCACAAGCAGGCTCCAAACACATGCACCATACACTTTTGTCCTATGGTATCCCACTTGTGGAGACACCAGAGACAATTTAAAAGCAAACACAGCGCAAGCATGTTATTAAATTTGCTTGCGCTGCTCAGAACAAATACAGGGCCTTTTTCTAATGCCAGAGCTCTTCAGCGGGCCTCTGCGCATTGAACTAATATGCTCAATTTGAGAGGGGGCGTGCTTGTCATTAATGATGAAAAAAAACACACCCTCTCTGGCCCCGCCACTTTCTCAGGGTGCCACTGTGATTGAAAAATGCCCGGGCCGAATTTTTTTCCCAGTCCGGCCCTGAAAATAGGTGTCAACATGAAGTGAAGAAGTGGCGTGAAACCTATCAGAAAATATTCAGCTCCATGTTTCCTGCAAATCGTAGCAGAAAACACACAGCTGTACATTTCCCATAACTCCCCTATAGTTTTACACGTAAAAGAGAAGATTGTACATGCACAATAGATCTGCTTGCATCTTCACATAGACTTGAAAACAGAACATCAAAACACAATAGTGACATCCCAGTTCAGTTAAATTAACCCCTTAACACCGTTACGGCGTTCTATGCCATTGCGGCTTTAAAGCCGTTGCGGCGGCATAGAACGCCGTAATGGCTTTCAGCCCCAGGGGATCGCAGCTACTTACCTCCGCTGCGATCCTCTTCTGGTGGGCTGCCTGACTGCCCAGGCAGCCCTCCCCCGGCGAATGAGGCCCCCGGGGGCCATGTGATCGCTCTCAAAGAGCGATCACATGGCCCCCCATAGCTGGCTGTGGATCTGCCAGCAGGGGGACTGTCTGAAATATCAGACAGTCCCCCTGCTGGTGGGAAATGAAAACAATAAAAAAAATAAACATGTGTAAAAATAAATAAATTTAAAAAAAATGTCATACGTTGTGTATTTTAATACTAATATTAGTATATATATTAATATTAAAATACACTTAGAATGACGAGATATATATATATATATATATATATATATATATATATATATATATATATATATATATATATATATACATATACGTATAATTACATTAATAAATAAAATACCGTATATACTAGAGTATAAGCCGACCCGAATATAAGCCGAGGCCCCTAATTTTACCACAAATACTGGGAAACCTTATTGACTCGAGTATAAGCCTAGGGTGGGAAATGCAGCAGCTACTGGTAAATTTCTAAATTAAATTAGATCCCAATAAAATTACATTAATTGAATATTTATTTACAGTGTGTGTATAGAATGAATGCAGCGTGTGTGTTTGTGTGTGTGTGTATATATAATGAATGCACTGTGTGTTTGTGCAGTGTGTGTAAACTGGATGAGGGGAGGGCATTTTTATTTTAATATTATTATTTTAATAATATTATTATTTTAATATTTGCATTATTGTCCCCTCTCCCTGCTTGTTGCCTGGTCAGGGAGGGGGGACAAATTTTTTTTTTTAAATAATTCAAATATTAAAATAATAATAATATAATATTAAAATAATAATATATTATTATTTTAATATTTGCATTATTTAAAAAAAATATTTTTTGTCCCCCCCCCCTCCCTGGCCAGGCAACAAGCAGGGAGGGGGGACAAAAAACATTTAAAAAAATAATGCAAATATTAAAATAATAATAATATAATAATAAAATAATATTAAAATAATATTATTTTATTATATTATTATTATTATTATTAATTTAATATTTGCATTATTTTTAAAAAAAATGTTTTTTGTCCCCCCCTCCCTGGCCAGGCAACAAGCAGGGAGGTGGGACAAAAAAAACATTTAAAAAAAATAATGCAAATATTAAAATAATAATATAATATTATTATTATTATTATTATTATTAAAATAAAATAATACTGAATCCCTGGTGGTCCAGTGGCATTGGCAGTTCAGTGGGGGGCTGACAGGGAGCTCTTACTTACCTTCCTGCAGCTCCCTCCTCCGTGCAGCTCCGTTCCGTTTACAGTGTAAGTGAGAGACTTACACTGGGAGCAGAACGGAGCTGACCGAGGAGCTGCACGGAGGAGGAGGGAGCTGCAGGAAGGTAAGTAACAGCTCCCTGTCAGCCCCCAACAGGACCGCCGGGCTTCTAATGAGCCCGGCGGTCCTGGTCTGTATTGTGGCAATGTAAGTTGCCACAATACAGACATTGACTCGAGTATAAGCAGAGTTGGGGTTTTTCAGCACAAAAAAATGTGCCGAAAAAATCGGCTTATACGCGAGTATATACGGTAATAAAATATTGAAACAAAATTTTATTAAAATTATATATTCATATGTAATTTCATTCTAACTGTATTTTGTTATTAATATATATATATATATATATCTATATCTGTGTGTGTGTGTAACAAAATACACTTAGAATGACATTCTATATATATATATATATATATCTATCTATATTTAAAATACAAATAACCGCAAATATATATATATATATATATATATAATTACATAAAAGATTACATTAGTATACACGTAGAATTAAAATATCTATAAATGCATATATATTAAAATTCTACGTGTATATTTAACTAATTTTTTAACATAATTATGTGATTTGATTAATTAAAATTTGATTGACATGCCTGACAACACAGGGAGAAAGTGCAGAGAATTTAATTCGCAAGCACTATATTTGACCCTGTAACTCTCCAAGACACCATAAAACCTGTACATAGGGGGTACTGTTTTACTCGGGAGACTTCGCTGAACTCAAATATTAGTGTTTTAAACTGGTAAATTGTATTACAGCGATGATATTTTAAGTAAAAGTTACGTTTTTTTTGCATTTTTTACAAACAAACAGCACTTTTATGGACTATATTATTGTTATATGTTTTACTGTTTTAAAACACTAATATTTGTATTTAGTGAAGTCTCCCGAAAATAACAATACCCCCCATGTACAGGTTTTATTGTGTTTTGGAAAGTTAGAGAGTCACATATAAGGCTTGCTTTTCATTTTTTTGACATTGGAATTTGCCAGATTGGTTATGTTGCCTTTGAGACCGTATGGTAGCCCAGGAATAAGAATTACCCTCATGATGGCGTACCATTTGCAAAAGTAGACAACCCAAGGTATTGCAAGTGGGGTATGTCCAGTCATTTTTAGTAGCCACTTAGTCACAAACACTGGCCAAATATTAGTTTTTTGCTTTTTTCACACAAAAACAAATATGAACGCTAACTTTGGCCAGTGTTTGTGACTAAGTGGCTACTAAAAAAGACTAAACAGCAGTGAATTATGGGTGAACAGACATATAGCGCAAATTCCAGTTTTTGTTTACGTTTTGTTTTGATCAGAACGTGTACTATTGACTCCGTCCTGAAGGGGTTAACCTTCTCAAAAAAAAATAAAAACATTTTGGAGATTGATATAGCAGATATATTTTTCTCAAAGTTTGAATAAGACCAAGACTGCAAGTAGTCTAGTTAATAACAGACTATAAAAAACAAAACAAAACCAGAACACATTAACTATACGATAATAATGTGATTATTGTATAAAACACATTTAGGGATCTCGTATGACTGAATAAGATTGTGACTGATAAGGTGTATTGGAAAACACAGGACAAAACCATTTGGTGAGAAGATGGACACCTCTAGTTGGTAAAGGGGAGGAAATGTGATTTGTACAGCCCATGATACTTCTTTTTGTATTTTGTGTGAGAACATTGATATTACCCATTTACGGCGCTACGGAATTTGCTGGCGCGATAGATATATATAGATAGAGATATATATATATATATATATTAATAGTAGTAACACATACTGAAGGCTCTACTGACTAAATGCCACATATAATACAGCAGAGTCTGCTAAATATCCCAACTTGCAAAACCTCATTTTAGGGACGTGGCTGCCCCCATGCACACTCCTCCCCGCGCGCGCGTGAACACACACACTCTACAACTATTTACACACACACAGATATACACAACTTGACACACAGTTACACACACTGACACATACATCAGAACACAGATGCTCACACTGGCACATATACACACTGGCACATACACACAATCTGACCTACCAGGAGTCTTGGGATATCATCAAAGGGTAATGGAGAGTGTAAAGAGTACAGGTGCAGTTCCCTTCGTCTGGATCAAACAAATAAATGGGATTCGGTTGCAGTTCAGCTTTTAGCAAATTTTTGCTTTTCACAAATTGTATAAAGGTTTGGCTGGTTTTAAAAGTTTATCAAATAGCAGATGAATGAAAGTGTAAATTTACCTTTTGTGAATGGCCAAATGGGTTTTATATCAGCTGAACTTGGACAACCAAAAGTTATCCAGCTGCTGTCTTGTCACATAGTAAATAGACCTTTTGCATATTTGGCATCAGCATTTCCACGTATCCTTGAATTTTGGTTGGCAACTTACATGGAAAATAAACCAAAACAAAACAGAGGCATACCTAGAGTGCAAAAACATTGGATCAGCAACTGGGAAACTAGAATAATTATTTAGTAAACAAGGAAATGTGACCTTTTAGGCTGCGATAGTCAAGCTGGGAAAAACATCCAAAAATAGTTGTTAGTGTTGTACAGATTGATATATAATGCTGATTCACTGAAGATCTTCACTTTTTTTTTTTTTTTTTCTAAATTTATTTATTTTTTATTTCATTTCTTTGTATTCTTTTGTTGAGTGAATGACCTTAGTTTATTCTACATACCTACCTTTATCCAAATCTCATCTGGATTTTATACCCTGGGATAAAAGTTTTGTGTTTGTTTATTTTGTGTTGAAGAGGAGAAGCAAGACCATCATTTGGTGTTATTCATTAAAGCATGACTCCCAACCATCCCAATTTTGGTGTGCTGATCACGATTTTCAGATTTTGTCCTGCAGTCCCGACTTTGTTCCCTGGTGTACCACTTTTGGATTATTAGATGTGCTTGTGCTACACTCAGGGTTCTAAGACCCTGCAGAAAGCACTGAAATAGCCCTCCGTAGGCTGGCCTGCTTTATGGCGGGTCCACTTATTTGAATAGAGTCAGTAATGCGATTGCATCACTGACCCTCCACCTTCACCCAGCTCCAACTGGTGTCCTGCTTCTCGGGATGCCAATTTTGGGGTCAGGCTGGGGGGCTTAAAGTAAGAATTGTTAGATTTTAAAGCAAATTGCACGTTTTTTACCAAAGTAGTTGAACTGAAATCTATTCTGGCCTTCACTTTGAAGTCCCGACAATTCTCACTTTAGTAAAAAAAAATTAAAACTGACTGTCTAATTTTAATTTATAATTATTATTATTATTGCCATTTATATAGTGCCAACAGATTCCGTAGTGCTTTACAATATTATTAGAGGGGTATTTACCCATAAATAGGACAATTACAAGAAAACTTACGGGAACAATAGGTTGAAGAGGACCCTGCTCAAACAAGCTTACAGTCTGTAGGATACACTTACACCACTACATATTAAATAAAAATATATACGCAAACACATACTTAAGTGTTTTTCTTAAGCTTTAGAATGTACACCCAGAGAGGATGTACTTTCTAGGAAAACATTTCTACTATCTCACATGTTATGAGATGGCTTCTTCTTACTTCCTGTTTGCAGAGTGTTAAAGTACTAAAAGTGGAATCGGGAATGTGAGCTGGGCTGATGTTGCCTGTTGATTAGCATGGTTTCTTTTCAAAGAACTGGTTATAATTAAATGTGACCTGTTTGCTATTAACCAGGGACTATCCCACTTTTTATTTATTTTAAGTGGTATCAGATATTATAAATTGTCCATATTAGAATTTATAACCCATATACTTCGATCCTTTAGTGTAACACTCATTGCCATAGAAACTCTAACCTTTATAAAGATGGCTTTACGAATTATCAGGCACTAATGAACATAGGGATAGATCACTGAGGGTCTCAGAGATGCAGGATTCAGTCATAGGAATTTAGAGTTTTTCTTGACTCTCTCCCATTAAGGGAGTGGGAAGTATTAAAAGCCACTGATCTCTTCTTCCTTCAAACCTATGGTAAAAATTTAAATTTTCATTACACCCACCCTGATGTAGTTGGCATAAAGTATTATAGCCACCATTGTATCCAGTATAAAGAACCAGGTTTTTTTACAATTTTTTTTTATTTATTTTTTTATTATTATTAAGGGGAACATGTTATCGTTAATGTATTGCCTAGTTACTAATGCCATCTGATATGTACCATCTGCCTCTCAGCACCTTACATTTTTTTTCTGGCCTCATTGCAGTGTAGCATAGTAGTTTTTCTACTTGGCTGACTGCCCTGCACAGCTTGGTACACAGGAACATCCTTAGATAACCCTCCTCAGCAGGAAAACCCATGCTGTAGTGTTAGATAACAAACAATGGACTTTTGTAATGATGCTCAGAAACATTCTATTATGTGTCTGTTGCTCATTGTGTCTTGCAGTGTTAAGACCGGTATAACCACCTCTTTCATCATTGGTAGGTAAGAAAGACTTGATTTCTTTCACTTGTACAGTGGCATGTATGTTGTACCTTTTGGATTCAAAGCCACATTTACCCACTTCATGAAATCATAGATTTAACTGGCTAAGGTATAGAAATCAGGTGGGAGAGCACTGGATTGATTGTTTTTTACCCCACCTCCTATAGACTGTAAGCCCGTTTGAGCAGGGCCCTCTTCAACCTATCATTTATCTAAGTTTTCTTGTAATTGTCCTATTTATAGTTAAATCCCCCATCTAATAATATTGTAAAGCGCTACGGAATCTGTTGGCGCTATATAAATAGTGATAATGATGATGATAATTGTAAGTTATTCCTGAGTTGTCTTTCTGTTTCTTTGGCTTTAAGTGCTAATGTTTCTTAATATTTGTAAAATGAGATTTAAAAAAAAAAAAATGTGCTTGGCTTTTTTTCTTCTTCTACAATATTAAATAACTAAGAAGATAAATTAATGCATTTTTATCTATCCACCTAATCTGACTCCCCTTTTAGGAAGCTGAAAATATTTGCATAGTTTGAATATCAGAATGATGATAGTGTGATAATCAGGTAGCTGATATCTTATTATGGGTTTTTTAGATCGGTATTAGTGTTTGTGTGTGTGTGTGTGTGTGTGTGTGTGTGTGTGTTTTCTTTGTTTATTTTTGTTTACCTGTCTTTCCCAGCAGTGATTAGCCTAATGGATTTTCCCCTGGCTGCAACAGGATATCCTGTGGTGTGCGCAGTACTCTGCCAGTGAAAGTTTTAAAACTTTTGTTTTTTGCTTGGTCTTTTTTTTTTTCTCACTTTTTTTTTTCCCATTTATTTATTTTTATAAATATAATCAATGTACATAAAATGACAAACCTATACGAAGCAGACAAACATTTTGAACATTTATACAATGCTAGTATTGTTAAAATAAAGCGATGAACTGGAGTTTGGTCGTATTTCTGTATATTCTGATTGAATTCGTAACAAAATCTGTTGAAGATTTCTATAGCAGATCTAGTGAACTAGTTTTAAAATATATTCCCTTCTTAACACTAGTAATGTATTTCTTAAAAGAAGCATTTTGACATGCGTAGATTATGTTGTAGTTGAATTGACAGCAAAATGTGTCTTTTCCCCCAGATCTTTAGTTCCCTGCACTATCTAGCCATTTAACTATTTGTCACATTGTTCCCATATTTCCATTATTTCCCATAATAATTTTATTCTCGTTTAATAGAAGCTATTCTGATAGTAGAGAAGAGAGCGGCATGCTGTACCTTTGATAATGACATACAGTAACCTGTTCATGATTATTATTGTTACTGTTACTTATACATTGTGAATGTATTGTGCAGCACTCTACAATGCTTTTATTTTTGGCTGGTTATATTAAAAATTAGCTGGCTGAACAATAAGAAACGCGCTTGGATCGTGGGTTTCTGATTCCAAATTCTCATTAGAAACATGAAGTCATCAGTATTGCATACTTTACTCACTTTGTTTCTATTTTGTATTAAAACCTATGATTGTAACAGTGGATTTTTTTTTTTCTTTTCTTTGAGTGTGTTCAGAGAAGCTGTCAAGCCTTTAACTGTGAATCATACAAGCAGAACCATGGCTTTGTGAATCATACAGGCACAACTATGGGTCTGTATATATGAAATGACGAAAGTCACTGAAAAAAGATGACAAAAATTGGGTGATGAAAGTCTATAGAGGAATCAAGGCACAAAAGGGGTAAATATGGATAATGATCGTACACAGGCTGTGTCATTGGAATGGTTAAAGGGGCAGTCGGGCACCCAGACCACTTTATCTCATTGAAGGGGTTTGGGTGCAGTGCCACTGTACACTTAACCATGTAATTTAATTTACTGCAGTATCAAACAGACAGCCACTAGAGGTGCTTCCTGCTCCCTAACAGAGTTTAACTCTGTTGGATATGTCCTCACGCTATTCATGTAGATGTGTGTGTGCAGTGCGCTCCACACATGCGCATTAGGTTCACCGATTGCAGTAATGTTGCAGTAGAATCATTGGTTTTGGATCAGGTACACTAGGGAGTTACAAATGTACAAGCATATTTGATACCAAATGCTGTGCAGGAGACTGAATTGAAAACAGCAAAAAGGTTAGAGGGGTACTACTACTACAGAGTGGATTGACTTTTTATTACTTACTTACTTTTATTTTTTGTGTATTGTGACGGACCGCCTGGTACCCCAACTGGGTGTCCCCGCCAATCGCTGCTTCCTAGTAGCCTGGAGTACTACAAGCACCGCACCAGAAACCATAAGCACCGTAGCCCCTTAGCCACCATAGCTTGGCTGGGGTCTTGCTGTCCTTCACCCACCCAAGCCCAGGATCCAGCTTCCAGTAGGTGGACCTCTCCTACTCCAGAGAGTCTAGCAGAGCTAGTCATTATAACCAGGATAGCAATCCAAAGCCGGTATAGCTGGTATAACTGTTCCCTACAATCACGAGGCTGCGTGTTGAGGTTGAAGTGAACTGACTCTAATGGGACCACACTTGGCCTTTTATGACAGTCCCCATGCAAGGGGCACTCCCCCCTGGCCCTGAGAGTAAACCACAGTAGAAACAAATACACAATCACATTTGATCTTAGATCCAGGACACTTCCATACAAGCTAGGTCATTTAAATGGGCATATTACAACTAGGTCATTTAAATGGGCATATTACAAACCACAGTCTATTTTATTTTTATTTTTTAATTCTTTATTTTTCATGCATTCAATAAACAAGTGAGCTTGTACTGCCACAACAGCTGGTACAAACTGGGCATCAAACATAGTATGACATTTATGTGGGCATTTAAGTGAGTACAGTGCACATTTTATGAATAAGAGTAGGCTGTGTTAGTCTAAGGTCACCGATCTAAAAAAAATAAATAAATGGGGTGTTGGAGGGGAGATGTCTCTCTCTAGGCACATATAGAATAATATTGTACACCAGCATAACAAAGGAGTGGGACACCTAACCGTCTTAACTGCTGTGTATAATCTGGAGAGGGAAGGTGGTAATTCTCATCCTACGTGAGATGGGCTAGCCTTAGTTCTGGTAGTCAAATGAAGTAAAGTGTTCTTTTCGTGTTTTAGGATACCGATTTTTAATTAAGCATTGTAGCCCCATCTTCTATTGTGTTGTTCATGGTAAGGGTAGAGTTGTCAATACGCACATGCGTGATAAGCACGTCTGTGCTTTTAAGTGGTCTTAGCTTGTTGGTTAGAAGCATAGGGTTCTTTATGTGTTCCAGACGTTGAGTCTTTTGGTTAAAGGCACTCCAGGAGAGCGAAGCAGGGTTTAATGCTGCTAATATTTTTAATATTGTTGGATATGTTTTGTTTTTGTTTTGTTTTTTATTGATTTAATATTTTTGGAACTTTTAAAAGTATTTGATGTTATGACATTTTTTTTAATTTTGATTTATTTTTTTAAATTTTCTAAAAATATATTTTAAAATGTTTTAAAAAAAAATCATTTTAAATGTTTATCCAAAAATATTAAATAATTTGGAAAGCTTATCCAACCATATAAAACTGAAGTCCATATCTGTTTTAGCTCATTGCAGTGATGTGTCTGCGGACTTTGGGTGCCAGACAGAGCCCTGTTAATTGTCAAATTGTACACAAATATTCATGCCCATAGTCATGCCACCATAACCACTAAAATGAGCTGTAGTGCATAGTTTTTAAAGTATACCTTTCATAAGCATAGAAAAAAAAAACACATCACATTATATTAAATTAGTTTTACTAAAATACTTATCTTGTGAAAATACATTATCATATGTCATTGTCATCAGTTTAGCATTATCTTTTAGTTGAGACTGCAGGCCTTCTATTCTGTAAGTTAAATTTATCACTACATTCACATTTAATTTTTGCTTATGTGACTTTTTTTTTTTTTTTTTTTTATGTTTATGTATATGAAGGGATTGATTGTGGTGTGGTAGGGAAAATCAAACCATAACACAGACTATTTCTTTCTTACACTCCTAGCATTATCTAAAATTTGTTTACATGATTAATATACAACATATGCAATTCTGCAATCTCCTTTACAGGAGTTTTATCCCATACAGTATTACCTAATGTATCTTTTTAAACTAATTTCACAATATTACCGCTGCACAGAAATATAGCACAAATATCAGACATATGTTACATGCAGGAGCATTAGAAGCGATGGCCTTAACAGTGATTGATCGCCCCCAGCCCCCTCAAAAGAAGAAAAGAAAAAACAGGTAATTAGGCAAAAGATATTTATCATTTTAATAAAAGTTAAGAATAGTAGAAGAAGTGTGAATGATGAACCTCAGAGAGAGAAACATGAATATAAGAAAAGAGAGAACTGGAGAGCAAGAAAGGATGAGGAAAAAAACTAATAGGGGAGCCTGAACTGGGAATGTTGGAGGGGAAGAGGAGATTAGATGGTTATCTTATCAGATGTTCCTAGACAAGTAGACATGCCAAAGGTGTCCCATTTTTTTAATAGAACTCTAGGCACCCCTGAGCTTAACTGTCAATTCCTCCATACTGAAGTAGTCCACCTTCCGAAAGAGTGGTTAGAGGCAGGGTAGCTGCGAATCCCAATTTTTCACAAAATGTATGCAGGCACCAGTACAGACCATATGTTAATGTTTAAGAGCGTTATTTGAGTGTTTGTGACTAGAAGGTTTGTGTTCCAGGCAATTTATTAGATTATGTGCCCTCCTCCCCCATGGAGTCCCAGCTCTCAGCTGTTGATAGGAAAAAGCCTTAAAGGTATCTTATCATATATACACAGTAGATTTGTATACAAATACTGCCAATCTTATCAGCCAAGAATTTAAAGGGGAAGATAGCGGTGCGACTGTATCTGAAAACGTCTAGTCGGGGGCAGGGCCAGCCTTTGGGTTGTGCTAGTTCTGTGGCTGCACAGGGAGCCATGGCAATAGGCGCGCCATGTGGCTGTCACACCTCACAACAGTAATGGCCATTTTGTGGCACCCTGGCAGTGGGGTCACAGCATCCCAGGATACTGCCGCCCCCAATGAAAAGTGCAATTAAATGTATATTTAATATATTGCCGGGTAGGCAATGTACTACATAAAAATGATTCCCTGGTGGTCCGGTGGTGATATTTCACACTTTACCCCCTGCTGATGCAGACCTAATAATGTCCCTCAATGGCGCTCAGTTAGTAAGTCAGAGCACAGCTGAAGGGATTCGCTGCCTGTGCTCTGACTCAACACTGAGCACCAGAGAAGTCCTTATGGAGTTTACCAGCAGGGGGCGCAGAGCGGGCATTCTGCCAGTTTGCTCCTTTTGGAAGGGATCAGAGTCAGTCTCTCCAGATCTCCTGCCCCTTGGAACAGAGCAGCACCTGCTTGCTGTTCCTTCACCACCATGAATGGTGAGCAAAAATGTTATACATAATGCTCATATCCATATCATACCCACCCAGTTAAATACCACCCACATTATCATAATACCCTCCATGCCATATAACCTCCAATCCCCACTTCATCATAATACTCGCCCTGCCATATAACCCCAATCCCCACTTTATCATAATACCCTCCCTGTCATAAATCCAAAATGTGGTCATAATACCGACACTGGCATATATACCACATGTCCTATAACACCCACGCTGCCATATACAACCCCACCTTGTCATAATACAAACCCTGACATACACCCCCACCTTGAAATAATACCCTCTCTGTCATATAACACACAACCCCATTATACTCACACCCTGCCATTTAAGACCCAAACTCACCACTTCGACTGCATTCACCTCCTTCAATCCACTATGTGCTATGGAACACTCTGTCATACCCACCACACTGTCACACCCTGACATCTACCCTTCTCTTAGTAATACTCATCCACTTACATATACCTTCTCCTCGTCACGTTCACTCATGCAATATCACACACAAAGTCCCATACCCCTATCTACTCCAACCCACCCAGGCACATACAACTTTTTGCCCATAGTTACATAAACACATTACCCACAGGCTCACTTTCACAGCTTACATCTGCAGTCTCACACACATTACAAATGCATATGCTGTCACAAACCCACAGTTTCACACAAGAGACAAGGGCAGAGAGATAGTGGGAGGCAGGAGGTTAAACATGTTTCATGGACTACATAGGAATTTGTGGACTACATTCACATGACATTCAAGCCATCTCTAAGCCCAGTTTAGCATTATCTAAATTTGTCCATAAACCGTTAAATTGTTATGCTTAATTATCATATGTTATGCCCCTGCATTCAAATACCACACCTACACACAATTCCTCCATGCGTTCAAATGCCAACACTACACGCACTTATTTTACACAATAATTTGAATCTCTTTGTTTTGAGGTTAATAAGAATGTGAGGTATTGGATGAGGGAAGTACTCAGGGAGGGTTGTGACCATGGAGGGGATATGTGCCTGGTCATGGGCCAAAATAAAAACCAAATGAAGAAACCACTTCAGTGAGTGGTCCTCTTTCATTTTATAAAATACTCTGCACAGGTCTAAAATTGGCATGAATGAGACATATATTCAAGTCTATCAAGGCTCAAGTCCTTTTTTACTCTTGAGTTGAAGTAAATGTAACCGTTTTCATCAAAGCTGGTAATGTGAATTCACATTGTGTATTATATGGGATAAAGAAACACCACTTCATTGAGCACATTTTTAGGTTCTTTCATAAATGTGTGTTTTGGGGTTGTTGTTTTTTGTTGTGTGTGTGTGTGTGTGTGTTTGTTTTTTTGTTTTTTTATATGAGCCTTTGCTGTATCTTTGAAACTTGCTCATAATAATTCTGTGTTGGTCTGGTGGTGTAATCCCAGAGGCATTTACATCGAAGTTTCTTTATTAAACAGAATACAGTAGGTATATTAAAAAAATCATGAAATCATGCAATTTGACAGCTCCTGGCGGGTTCGCAAATCTAACATGTACTTTCTCATGCTCTGTTTGGCTTCCTTCCCCTTGTAGACATATAAAGTATCTTTTACCTTGTGATTGATGAGCTTTGAGGGACAGAACAGCAAGGTGTAAATGCATCCACTGCACAGTTTGAATTTGTGTACAAATTTTTAATTGCTGGAAAGATATCAACTCAATGTTTTTTATTTTTTTAGTTTTGTCACTCATCTTGTGATTTCACTTTTAAATTGAGGAACATTTTAAACCTCCTGATGTGAAAGCTGAATATATAATTTAATGCAGTATTGTATAGTGGATGATACATTTCTGGTATAAAAATCATTTATTTATTTTTAATCCATTTTTTGAATAATTAAAAATATACGTTTGAATTTTGATGTACTACAATGGGGTAGGATAATAGATTTAGAAACCGATCCGTATTTAGTAAATTTTTAATAAATACTATTTATTTATTTTTGGTTCATATCTATCGCACTGTTTAGGGATAAACAACAGCTCAGCGTCTGTATACAAACAAAAAGATTTTCTGACTTTTCCCGCGTATATCATGAGTGTACAATTGCAATAGAAAAATGTCACAACCTTTTTCTACTGGCAACACTGTCAGAGCTATTATCATTGTCCTTATTAATTAAAATCAGTTTTAAAGAGTACTCCAATCATCTTGACCACTTTAGTGATTTGAGTTAAAGCCCAATACTGTTGATGGTGTAGTTCCATATTTTGGTTGAAGTAACACTCCAGGCTTCATTGTTTAATCATGTTCAATCAAAATTTTAGGGTTAATTCTCCCAAGATATGAAATCTGTACATGTTTCTTTATCATTTGCATGGATCTTTTGTTTCAAGGAGATCCATATCATTGGCAATGGATCTCCTTGAAACAAGTAACAATCTAATTGGTTATTCATTGGTTGAGACCATCACCAGAATGGTCCCAACCAGTAAATGACCTTCTGAGTACAGTAATATGCACATAATTGACGTCTACCAACCTGGAACTCTTGTGCCCTAATGATGCCGTGCGGTATAGTTACACTTCCGGCAACAAAGGGGTTAAACTCTATATGTCTGTGTGTAGAATTTGTATATCACGATGCAACACTGCACATACAGACTCCAAGTACCATGACCTCTGAATCACTGAAGTACATTTTTACATATTGGTTATAGTGTATAATGTTGTTTTTAATTTTTTTTTATTATTCTGAATGGGGGGCTACTGATTGGCTTAGAGTGTCAGCTGACTGCTAGCCAATCAGTGGTGCCATTGCTATAAATTTGTGTGTGTATATATAATCTGTACTGTACTGCTTTTAACACCCTAGGAAAACTATAACCTGTGTGTTATGATTTTGCAAAGGTGTTATAAGCAATACAGTACAGCCTCCACTGACCTGTGTTGAATTCAATAAACATATTATGACTGGATACTCATTCGAACAGAACTGGACTCCCATTTATTATTTTTGCAAAAGTGCCTTGTTTAGTCAGTGCTTGCTCCATTTCAAATGAGCAGGAGGCCAAGATTGGCCAAGATATATCAACCACTTCCTGTTTTAAGTAAGGAAGGTTGAATCCAATTAGATTTTCTCCTTAGGTTATATTTTATTTGTTTAATGTTTTCTTTTTAATGCTTTATGTATGCAATGAAGAGAAAATAGAAGCATCCTACAATTAAATTTTTCTAACTAAGGGCTAAAATAGCCGTTCCCTGTCTTGTATAGGCTGTATGTATGACCATCATCTAACCTTATTAGGTATTTTATCCAATCCTTATCCTGATACTCAGATTTTTCTTAGTAGTTCACAGCAATTGCTTGACTAATCATTACTTTATATGCAAGAGTTGCCTACTTTATTTAATTAAGAGGCTATACTATGTACAATGGGTCACTGCATATCCTCAGGCATTTTGAATGGGAAATAATGCAGTGTATTCAATTATACATCAACAAGCTACAGTATGTAGAATATAGTAGCCAGATATAATATATATATATATATATATATAGCCCATTACATATGATTTAAAGAGAAGCTCAGAAGCACAAAAACAACTTTAGCTTGATAAAGCCATTTTAGTGAGTATATTATGACCCTGCACTAGTCTGTTATGTCTTTTAGGATTTAAGGCGGCTCTGTCATCTTCCGGTATCTCTGAGTGGTGCAGGGAAAGACGAGTTGTACTTATTTGAAACCTTACAGCTACGGCTATCCTCTACCACGGTATCCTCTTCATTTCATCATTTCAACACTGATGTTAATGCATGATCTTGCAAGGTGGTAGGAAACCATATAGAGAGCTTTTTAAAAAAAAAAGTTTTCATGGCTGAGAACTTGACAGTGGTAGCTTCACCTTTTTTTTTTATCAAGTGCAGGGAAAGAATATAAGACAAAGTAGTCCCTACTGACTGTCAATGTGAGTATTTCATTAAGATTTTATTGTTATGAAATACTACATTTTTTGAGGTGTGGTATGACAAATCTGCTTTAAATCACTCTATTTATTGTTTTCACCTCCTCTGGCTGAGACTCGGACAGCCACTCTCCAGACTTCCTAAAAAAGAGATCACATTTTTAAACTTCCTTTTGAATTCAAAGCAGTAGATAATAAATTCTTAATTAAACACACTGCTGTAAAACATTTTCTTCCCCCATACGGGTAGGGCTGGAAAGTGATTTTAATGAATTTACTCAAGGCAAAAAGCACCAGTGTGTGTGTATGGAAGTCTTTTGAGGTCAAAGCTTATGTGTGTGACAATCTATGTGTCTAAGTTGTGTAATCAACTAAATTGTAACATTTCAGGAAACTCAGATGAGTAGGTTGAGATTTGCCTGTAAACTAAATACAGAATTTAAAGTAAACTAAAGTAAAATGTAAAGTACTTCGAATTATGGTCCTCTGAGGAGCAAAATGTTGCCAGTTATTTTTGGTGGTGCATAAATGGGTAATTTGCATCTAAAGCCATAAGGATTTGATTAACTATATGTGAGAATTTGCGGATATATTATCCTAAGTCATTGGGTGCCGTGCTATATGATTTTTTTGTTTTGTTAAACAACCATTGACCAAGTATGCAAATGTATAAAATACACAACCTAAAATAAAATACAAAGAGAGGGACCAAGTATACTCCTTTGTTAAAGGACAATCCGAGCACCATAATTACTGCAGCGTACTGTAGTAATTTTGGTGCCCTGAACATCAAAATCAGGACTGTCTTACCAAGAAGAGGAATGTTGAGATGCATGTTTTCAATCTACTAAATAGTATAAAGTATGTACCAGAAATGTTATTCTGTATAATTTAAACCTTATTATTTGATGCCTTTTGACATTTCAACAATGTATTTATATTGGTTTCTTGTTACAGAGAACATCTCTAAAAGCAGCACTGGAAATCTCATTGTCAAATAATGAAGCTACTGTATTGGCGTGGGTGTTCTGGATAAGAGAATCTTTGCTCCAGACGTATTGTTGAAGGTTAGCCATGTTCTATTTTGATTCTTTCTGCTGTTGCTATCGGATCAAGAATCTTTTTAAAAATAATTTTTTTGTTGGCTATGGTTTTAGACTTGTTTTAGAGATAATGAGCCATATCTGGTGCTGCTATTTAAAATTAATTTTTACTTGCAACTGCAGAATGATATTCTAGGTCATTGGCTTTATACTGACAGTTTGACTGTAAAACTGTGGTTCATTTACAAAATTTTCCTGCTGATTATTTTGTCCCTGGTTATCCATTAATACCTAGTTGAGCTCTCCCTGAGACCAAAACTCAGTTGTGTTTCTGACATTCTTATAGGGAGGAATAAAACTTAAAGTAGTTCTGGGGCATATGGCCTTTTTCTGCAGGGTGGGGAGTGTTTACACTGCTCCGTAACGCCACCCCTAACTACTGTAACTTGGACAGCCACTAGAAGGACTTCCTTGTTTTGATCCTGCAAAGATTGCAGGGCCATCATTCATCATCTCCATGCTCTGTTTGGAGATGCTGAACGTTTCCAATAGAGAAATTCACTGATTTAATGCATATTATTATTATTATTATTATTATTATTATTATTATGTTATTATTTATATCGCGCCGTCAAATTCCGCAGCGCTTTACAATCTATAAGGAGATGTTGATGGGCGCAGTGCAGCAATTTGCTAAGCATGTGTACTAGCTTAAAAGCTAAATATAACCTATCTGGTTAACTTCTTTGGTGTTACTGATATAACCCAAATAAAGTGGAATTTTAAATTATCTTTACTTTGGCTTATTAAGTAGTGATAATAATTATAATAATCTTTTTTTTACAAAACACCTCATCCATTTCTTCTGAATATTGTATGACCCTTCAAGTTAAAGAAACACTAAAGTGTTCACAATACAAACCTGTGTTCCTAATGCTCTAGTGTTGCTGTCCCTGTTATATAGGCTCGTCCCCCTTTGTATGTGCATTAAAATTATAATATAAAGGATTTTACTCACATTTTTCTAGCGCCAAGGCTTACATACCTTTCCACCTCCCACGTCCATCGTTGGTCCTATCCAATGCTCCTCATAGAATGCATCCCCATAGGAAAGCATTAAATCAATACTTTCCTATGGGGGTTTTGCATCATGTGACTGTGTTTTACTCGGTCAGGGCCTCTAAAGCGCCTCTAGTGGCTGTCCGGAAGAAAGCTACTAGAGGTGGGTTTAACCCTGCAATCTAAACAATGCATTCACATTTAAAAAAAAAAAACAACAACAAAAAAAACACTGTGCGGTTTTACATTGCAGGGTTAAAAGGACAGGGCAACTGCACCCAGACCACTTCATTGTCATTCACTGTCAAACTGTACATGTAAAAATGAGAGAAATCTCAATGCATCTTTCCTGGTAAAATATTTTATAAATAAATGTTATTGTCCTATTGATCTTTTGAACCATGTTAGCCAGACTTGCTGACTGTGATTTGAACTAAAATTATAATTCTTTGGCAATCAGTCAAGCTTTGCAGTGTAAAAAGGATAGAAGGAAAGAAATGGATAGAAGGAAAAAATAAATAAATTAAGTTTATTATTTGTATGTTTAGTTTGATGCTGTTTTGCTATGAATTCTAGCACTCTATGATATTTAGAACATTCTAGCGTCAGTCAAGTTTCACGCTTGCCAGGAAAGCTGTTAAATGATTCCTGGATACAGTATAAAGATGGATGAGGCTCTCGGGTTGTTCAGAAAATATTGATTTATCACAAATAAACAGGCTTGGTATATAGCTAGAAGTCTTGGTAGGTAATGGATATAAATCCATAGTGTATATATGTTTTCTTGAGTACTCATAAATTGCACTTGCCACATACTGGGTTTGGTCTGTGTTATATTTTCAATAAATATAAAAATAAAAAGTATAACAAACGAAGAATTAATGTGATCGTTCCAATGAGTCCTTAAACCCAGTAATGCTTGCTGACAGTTGTCCATACATACATCCTATACCTTCTCATTTCGAAAACAAGAGAGATTCTGATTTGAAACTTGGTAAACTGTCTATATCATTAGAACCTGTTCTCGTGGATTCCGAGTTGAAGACATGGTTGCTTATGCATGTGCAAGCTCTCTTCGCAGGAGAAAAAAAAAATAGAATTGATTACGCAGTTAGATAAAAACGGTAACATTTGTTTATATTTCCCATGAATGAGACGCTGGTTTTGACCTCATGGTGGATTGGGCTCTTTTCTGACACCCCTTTTAGGAGTCATTCTATATATATTATCATTGGCTCAACACCTGTCGGGCCAAATCTTGCAGTATCATTAACATAACCGAGACCAAGATAGGTCTACGTTAACTTATACTACAACTAGTCACCTAACTCTCACGGGTTATAACGAATGTTCAACAAATAGCTGCTTAGGTTGCTTTGATTAATAATACAAGTTATTTTTTATTAAACACCAAAAACGGCAACCCATGCAACATTGTGTGTCAGGAACAAGCATGCTATGGATTCCTCTAATTTACATAGGAGATCAAAAAACACTGTACATGCACATATCTCAAAATACCTCTATTCTTTCCAGGACTGGATTGTGAACATACCTTACAAATCCAGCATCCAGAGAATTGGGACGCTGGTGGAAGAGTGGTAAAGGAGGCGGGTCAGTGGCATTATCATGTCACTAGTTCTGCTCCAAAGGGAGCAGCCTTGCCTAGAAAGGGGCAGGTCCACCTAATTTTTTGGCAGGTCAGCTTGTCCGTCATTCAGGCTTGCCCACTAGTGGCACACGCAGCAGGAACCACTGTTTCAGTGCTGCCTTCCTGGTCCTAGAGCCATGAACATAGCCTGACCACGTCAGCAGTTCTCATGCTATGCTTGTTGGGGACAGTTCCCTGGCCTCCCCAAAAGCAGGACGGCCTAACGGGATCCGTAAATCGAACAGTTGGGAGGCTTGCCAAAATTAGTAAGGTTTGCCCTCCAGGTGCAATATGTTGCTAAATGCTGTATATTTTGAGAAAATTACCATTTTATGTGTTTACTGTAATTAAACATACATGCAATTTTATTTATTATAGACATCCTTAGTTTAAAGTTTCCTTCAAATGTAATAAGTTATAAAATATTATTAGATAGGAGAGTGTAGGGGTAGAATAAATTTTTAGTAATCGCATATTTTTAATTTCAGTTTAAGTGTTTCCTGTTTTTGGTTCTGATAATATTTTCACTGTTCTCCCTGAGCTTTTTTGGCCAGGTATCTTAGTACACTGTGGATAATTTAGTGACCAACAGGAAAGATTTTCTATCTCCCATTGATTGCACATGACTGCAACAATCCTGGTAACCTCTTCACAGCAGACTCTGTTGTTCACTACTGCGCATTCTTGTTAGTATGTCACACAGTTTCAAATCCTTACAAAAGAGACCGATTATTTTGTCTTTTGTGTCTCTGTTACACTTGGTATTGGAACATTTATCAAGGTGAAATGTGCTGTACAAAACTGATTTATGAATATAAAAATAACAGTTTGTGCTAAAGGATAGGACTATATATTATATACAACCAACTTGTTATAAATAATAGGTATTAAATAATATTTATGCTTACAAAAGGACAGGTTTGCTACAGTGTACCATATTTGAGTTTAATGGGAAAAAAAAAACCCGACCTAAACAAGCAAATTTAATTTAATTTAATTTGCTTTCTCTGTGTGCTTCAGTTATAGGAGTAAATGACACTGGTAAGCCATAGCACAGGTTGTTAACACGCTAAATGTCCTAGCGCTCTGCATGAGGACATCCTGCATCAGTGAAATCCATATAGAAAGCAATGCAATAGCGGTGCTCATGCCTAATGCACTTGCGGCTCTCTCCGTGCATGCACATTAGCTCCCCCCCAGGCGGATGAAGACTGAGAAGGCAGAGCACTTACTTAGCACTGAGGGACATCGATGCTGGAATCTAGTGAGTAAACAAAGAGGTTTTAAGCCGCGAGGGAGGGGTGGACCAGAGGACACTATAGTGTTGGCAATATAGCTCTGCATTCCCAACACTAGATTCCCTTTAACAATATGTGTCTTGTAAAGCTGTGTGCTCTCATCCTTCAATTGTGAACCATGATGTATTTAAGAAGGTTCTGGGTCTGATGCTAACAGACTCTGTTCTCTTTGTGATATTGAGTCTCAGGGCTGTTTAATGTGTAACTCTTCTGCATTGTTCCTTTCATTATTATAGTAAACTACAGCAACTAACCAGTGCCAGATTCCTGAGCAATGACACTGCTCTATCCCACGTGGGTTTAACTCTTGTAAGGTTTACAATTTTTCTTTTGCAAGACCGTCAGTAGTATGTATTGTTTTTGCTTCTTGGCCTTTACAAGTATCTTATGTAACATTAGAAATGATGCTAAAAATATTGTAGGTATAATTTAGCTCTATACACAGAGGGTTTATATAACAACTTGGTATATTGCATAGTCTCTAATCTAACTTTTAATAAGTGATTGTGCAAAAACACTCTTTCCAGGGAATATTTTACTTTTTGAATATATAAATTCCAATTTAAATGTCAGCTGCTTACACACTACCGTATGTTACCTCTTAAGACCCCAAATAATCTAAACAAAATAAGTAGTGTAGCACTTATATAATATATAAAGTGCAGTGCTCTCACTGCGTTATTTACAAAAATCGCAATGAAACACACACACTGTGCAAATATAAATGTCACCTCTTATAGAATCCAGAAAACCTTATCTTCAAAGATCATACTATTCCCTTGTGTATACCTTTAAAACACAGATAAATACATTAGTGCAGAAACACTTTTATATAGGGGGGAAAAAAGCAAATAATTGAACACTGTGTTCAGAGCGAATACTCATTGGAATGGTAGGCCTCTGGGTCTGTTTAGGCAACACCTCATGATGTATAGAATCTTCTTTTCCTT